AGGGTTGGGATCGAACCCACGACCTCCTTTTAACACATAGGCTTTCGCGACCAATATCATCCGTAATGTATTATCCACGACCTCCTGTATACCTAGCGAGGTAGTCAACATCTGGTCATCGTGGCACCCGGAATGTGCCTGCGTCTTGTCGCTTCATTTAGGTTTATCTTCTTCATTATTTTTTATCTTTGTAATGAGGTTGCATAAACAAGATACCAGATATTGATTTTATTTTGAAATTGGTATTGTGATTTTCATATTTTCGTAAAATTACTCAGCTTCCAGATAAATAAGGCTTTGGACTCATGTTGTGGATTCGTATGTTAGTTCTTTAGCGCCTTGCTGTGGCAAAAAAACGTAAATTAATTCACCCAGATGTAAGAGGTATTTTAATGGTAATTGAAATATACCCCAGACATCAGTAAATATGTAATGAGACCTACCGAGGTGTGTATGGTTCGGTTTCGTGTTAACGTTAAGGTACGGTCGGGGTGTGTTAGTGTGGAAGGAAGGTTGGAGTTTATACTAAAATGTAGGTGGCATTCCTCTGTAAATAAACAATTCAGTCAAACGAACACTGAGAGGTTCTGATCTTCGCTTGCTGTTTACCAAGTAGCCAACATTCCACATTCCTATGGCGGGGGAGGGGAGAGGAGGGGCAGCCACACTGTATGACGAACACGATGTGACTTCCCACAGTGATACTAAGTTTATCGAGCCCAATAGAGATTATAACTTTCTACAGCGGAATTATTATTATTTATATTACCATAATCTAACATCCTTCTCTAGCCAATGGGGACACTCGTAATCTGCCAACAAAAAAATGTGCACAGGAGGACACAATAATAATATACGGTGCAAGCAGGCGCGACAGAGACACATCCACCCCGAGCTGGTGGCTTCCGTGACGCCTCCACTCTCTCCCTGTGAAGCCGAGATTCATTTTACCCACAGAGGGAGGAGATGGAGAAGGATGAGTGGGGTGGGGGCATGGCGGTGTGGTGGAGGGAAGAGACGAGGGTGGGGTGGGTGGGTGAGTGAGTTGCGAGGGGACGGCGAAAGTTCGGCATGAATGGAGCGAACGAGGTTTCGCGTTGGGATGAAGAGGAGTTGGGAATGGATGCAATGGCGAGGGGTGGTGGGTGTTCGGGATGATTGTGGATTGGGGAGATGACAAATGGAGCTGTTTAGGTCTGCGGATTAAAGGGATGATGAGGATAATGTGTGTGTGTGGGGGGGGGGGATAATTGCTGATTGGAATGATGAGAAGTGATGGTGAAAAGGGAATAATGAGGTGTTAGGATGATGAATGAAGACTTGGGATAAGGAGAAGTGGGGATGAAAATGGCGAGGAGTAGTTGGGGATGGTGAGGGGTTTGGATGTATGGATTCAGGGGTGGAGTACGGAGGGATAACAAGCATGGGGGGGGGGGGGGGGGTGATGAGGGATGTGGGATGACGAGGATTGTAGGTCGAGAGTTGGTGTGGAGGTAGGTAGCTCGCCGCTTCCCTCACTGCGTGGACGCGACAGCAACGTTGTGAATGGGTGGTGGAGACCAGGCAGGGCTGGGGAAGGCGGCGGCCAGGGTTGATGAAGGGCGGTGGGGGTGCAGGGTAGGGGGAGGGGGGCTACTCTGGGGCGCCCCTGGCTCCGCGGGAAGAGATGCAGACGTACTGGAAAGTGAGCGGAGTGGTCAGGGCGCCGGGATGTTTGTTTTAACCCTCTTCCTCTAGCCCGGGACGGCTTTGGCTCGGCACTTAACTCCACCAGGAGCCTGGCATATTGGCACACGCGCACGCATTTCAATCGAATTAGAAAAAAACAAAACCTCCCTCGCCCCAAACCCGCACGCCATTTAGTCTGGATAGACGTGTCGATCTTAGGGGCAAGTACTGTTGGCATTCACGCGCCTGTTAAGACCAGCGTATGACCAATTCGCACCGATCTCAACTGATGTCAGATGCTAAGCAGGCGTTGAGCCTGGGCAGTGCTTGAATGGGTGACCACTGAGTAAAACGGGTGTCGTAGGTTGCTGCGGGGCTACGTTGTTCGCAGAAAGCGGTGCAATGCAGCCCATTGTTGTACTGAACTATGCACCGATGCCTATGCTCTCCGCATTCACTCACCTGCACTGACCAGTGTGGTGACATGGCTACATAACCCCCCCCCACACACACGAACCCGCCCAGGCGCGGAGAGGCCCTCATCCAGCAGTGGATTGACGAAATGACTCTCTCTCTTTCTTGTTCGTCCATCAAGTTGATGATGACCATGGCACGTTTGTCATTTTTTTGGGTTTTGATGAGTGCGCAGATGGCTGAACAGGCCAATCCGAGCCCGGAACTCTCTGTGGCAACACTGGACAGGTCAGGGAGGATGCAGAGCTCTGACGTGCAGCCACAAGTCCTGCCCTGGTAGATTTGCGCTGCTGCCTCTTCAAGATAGCACCATCTGCTTTACCGGTTAAGACCAGTAAAGCAAGACCAGTAAAGCAGACGGTGGAGCATTGGAGGTAAGCACCACTCGGGAATGACGTCTGTTTTTGTTCATCACAAAGTTCCGAGTGCAGTACCACTTTCAGTCCGTCTTCGCCTACGTGACTTTACTGAAAGAACCAAGAATATGAATTCCTGCAGTCACGAAAGTTTGAAGTAAAATAAAAGCCCAGCTCAAGTTCTGATACAATTTGACAATGATGTGAACCATGGCCAGGAATCAAACCTAGGCTGCTGGGAAAGGAGAGCAAAGAGCTAACCACTAACTTCAAAAAAATGATAGGTCTACACCTCTTTCAATCCTCTGCTGGATGAAGGTTTCACCATGCTGTGTCGGCCACGGGAGTTGTTTAGCTATACTTCACCACGCTGGTCAATTGCAGGTTAGTGAAGTGGTAAGGTGGCACATTACAGGTTCAGATATCACTCGCCACTGAGGTTAACCGTGGCCGTGAATCGAACTCAGGTCGCCGGGTTCAGGGTGCACTGCACTAATCTCTGTGCCACCGCTCCAACCCTATGCTGTATATATATGCACAGGAAATCGAGTGTTTAACTGAAAGTCTGTTAAACTGTGCATGCTATAAGCACGGCCTAGTTTACCGGCAACGCAAATGTTGTTTGTGGCAGCGGAATAACGGCAACTGCAGAAACACGAACATATGTTGCTTCAGTTTGTAACAAGACCGACTTGCCCGTAGGCACGTGCCAACCCAAGTAATATCAAAGTCACTTTGCCCATAAGTCCATTGCAGCTTCTCAAATTTCTAAACTGATTTTTTATTTCTCCCCTCTCCATCATGTGTCACAGTCTGTCTCACATTATCCGCTTCTTCGTCTTCTCTCCCGTCTTTGTTTCGTATTGGTATTCTCTCTATGTCTCTGCCAGTTACCTCTCAGTGTCCCTTTGCATTCCCTCCGGCTCTCAATTCCATTGTCTTTTATCCTCTCACCCAGCCTCTCATCTCTGCCCGCCTCTTGGCCGTCTCCCTCCTCTCTCCTCTCCTCCGACACCCGTCACTTTCTCTAAACCCTTTCCCTCGCTGTCTGCCCACGTCACCTCCTGCCGCCTCACGTCAGGGCACTGTGCGTTCTCTGTGTTCTCGATGTGACGTGACATCAACTCTCCTCCCACTGCAATCGGAACTTTCTGTTGCCACAAAAAAACAATACGCTCTCACGGGCCCGACACTCAGAAAACACGCGCGATCAGGTGTGAACACGAAACATCGTAGCTGTTGTCACACTACGAATTCAACGTTCATGCCGTGTGTACATTTAGCAGAGAGAACGTGCCCAGGTTTCAGCGTCCATGAGTCCGATTATTCACGTGTTTTTTTTAATCCTACGCTGCACATTCTATTGCTCTGTAACTCTCTGTACCAAGTATTTATAATGTGCGTATGAGTACAATGCGTCCTCAAAATAATGTGTGCGGATATCCCGTGTCCCGCATATAACAAGTGTTTCTAGGGGAGACCCCTAAAAATGGTCGATTTTTTTGTTGTTGAAAATTGCAATCCCGAAGCTCAGGAATTGAACAGCGAACAGTGCAACGGTGACTTGCTGTTAGCTGTAGCTGCATCTTCAAGTCTGGTACTGTAGACTATTCTGTGGGTGGATTGTGTCCCAGAATTGGACTCGTTATTTTCAGTGATTTTAATTGTCTGTAATTTCTCTCATACTGTATTGCTTTTAGAATATATATAACTGTACATTATATAAATAGTTCTATCGTATAAAAAAGCAATACAAATAACATTACAAGCTGTAACTGGGGCTAAATTTGATTTGGTCTTCGTGAAAATAACACCAGGACACCTCACTCCTGAATTAGCCCGGTATTTCGAGGACAGTATATACGGTGTCCCCACGTAATTATACACTTTGCTTTACACATTGACAAAAAAGGGTAGCACCGATATATGCTGTCCTCCACAGTCCACTTAAATCTATCAAATAAAACTCGCTAAAATTGTTATGACATTTTAGCCCACAAAGTATCACGGGGAAACCCACAACACCCCAGATGCCTCATTGTGGCATGCATGAGCACCGCAGCTGGATTCAGCCAAGATATTTGAAAATGTTCAATATTTTAAAATATTTAAATCCAGACCGTATAATCTACTGCCACAAATGTGCTTTAGGCAATTATAAAGAGCTGCCCTTTCGTTGAAGTGTGAACCCCTTCTAAGCTTCTGGATTACAGCCCGATGTCAATCTATTGCTGGATAAAGGCCCACCCGTGCCATATTCGTCACAGGGATTGTTTGAGCATAGGGCGAGTTCAGATAAAACATTTCCGCTGATATAATGCGTAGTAGCTGGGAATCCAACTCGGGTAGCTAAGTTCATAGTGCAGTGGACTAACCACTTTGCTACCGGCCCTGCCCAAAATAGGTGATTAGAACAGCTTAAAATGCTGGTATTAAAATGCCAAAATAATTTAAATAAATATAAACAAAACACTCTTCAACACATTCACTCAAACAAAACTCTTACTGCAGGAATATATTTCACAATTGTGATGGCCATTGCCAACAGCTTCACATATCAAGACCAGTAAAAGCATGGGGCGAATTTGCAATAGCTGCTTACTGACAGGTGCAGGTAAAGTTGTTACTTATTTCGCACATTCAGCAAAAAACACAAGGGGTGTGTACATATTCTTAGGAACCAAAATATAAACTTAAAAGTAACCACGATTGATTCGATACCGAGGTTTTCCAAACTCTATTCTTTACATCGCACCAGTCTAGTTTTACATTTTACAGATCGTCAGGTGAGTTCAATGTATAATATATTAACTTGCATATAAAGAATAAAAGTTGCGTGGAAATGTATGTAGCATGGTGGCTGACGAGGAATGGAGTTTGGTAATCTATGCACTGTAAAATTATTACACATACCCTCTCAGTCGCAAACGACGTAATGAATGTAAATGCGCAATAGATGGCAAATGGTTGTTTTCATAAACTATTTAAGCCGTGTAATAGCCCACTTAGACAAAGGTGGTCCATGAATCTCTTAACACAAATGCATTTGCCGTGTTCCGTGCAACTGGAATTATCCTTGCCTCCCTTTTAAGACGTGCCGTCTCAAGTGGGATCTTAACTGCTTAAACAAGGACTGCCCGTCTGGCATGTACTTTATAGTTGGCATGACATTACGTTGGTACCAGCTTGGTGAACAGTTTTGTTCCCCAAAAAATGTTGTCCGCCACCCCTTATGCGTTTTTGTTTATGCCTGAAGGTCCACCGGGATTTTGGTGGCACGGTGGTTATCACACTGCACCACAATTCCAGCAACCCACGTTAAGAGCCATGGCCACGATTCACATCAGTGACAACAGCTATGTAAAAACTCTCCTTCCCCCTCGTTCAGACTGAAACGAGTACATGGCGTGGTGTGGATAACCAACGCTGTGCAATAATCAAAGGTGGCTTGCTTACTTACTATTGGCGGTGCTAACACCACTACCAACCTCCTTGTATGCCGTACCAGCATTGTGTTCTCGACCATTTAGCCTGGCCAGATAAGACTTTGTTGCTGTGCGTATGTGGAATGCCCATATCATTACCACTGGAGAGCCTCCCTCTTTCATTTTGACGAGTTACATTCAGGCAACACACCACTGTACAACAATATGCCTGCTCAGGCAGGGTGTAACAGTTGGACGTAAACAAAACAAGCAAATTCGTTACTAGTTTAGCACACCGGTGCGTTGGAGAGTAAACCCACAATTCGTTACTGAACTAGTAACAAATTGGCACGTTATGTTTACGTGACAAACCTTACTAATTGGCTGTGTTGGGTGGTGGCGGGTTTAATGACACATTTATATTTACGCGATTTAATATTTACGTGATCTAATTAGGATATTGGGCGCAAAAGCATAGGTGTTAAACCGAGTTGGACGTACCCACGATTTACCACACGACAGGACGGTCCATTTACCCCAGGTCATTCGCGTGGATATTGAAGGAAGCGTCCACGCTGATCGACAAAGCGAAGTGCTTAACAAGCGGCACGCAAACACCAACCAAGTTGTACGTCCATTAGTGTGCCTCCTACACACTAATTCCCACTGTGTGATTGTGTTGCACTCTCTCAAGAGCCCGATTCCCGTCATTTGCCAATGTCGTGCTATCTGCTGTAGAGCATTAAGACCCCACGACAGCACGGTCACAAGCGTGGATATCGGTGAAAAAGGGCTTTATAGCTCATCAGATTCCTCCAGTATAAATACATATTCTGATTCTGCACGTCGTAAATATATTTTAAACTATCCGCAAGTGAAGACTGTAAACAACAAATATCCCCCAGGTAAGTATGGTAAACGAGTGTGCCTTTGAAAAGTGATCAAGAACTAAAAAAGAAACTTCATGTCGTTTATTAAATTACATTAATCAATCAAGAGTTTAGGTGGTCATCATCACTGGAATCGAATGGGTCCCCGATTCAATCGTGAGACCGGTGGACGGGCACGTGTCCCCGTCAAGGGTGTGCAGTGCCGTCCGTCTCATCCACCGCCGTTCAGGAAAAATAAGAGGTAAAATCAGACGAGATCAGTGACATAATCATCTGGACTACGTCAGCCAAGTCCAGGCACGCAGAGCAAAAAACCAGGGCTAGGTCAAAAAAAAATATTTATAAGGGGGCCCCACCCCACCCCGGTCTTTCTCCAGTGGCTCTGACCACACACTCTGTGATGGGGGGGGGGGGTAAATCAAACAAAGCACAGGAAGCTCGGTTTACCTACAGAGCCGCTCCTGCAAGTCGATGCTATGCCACACGCTGCATTCACCACCCACAGTCTATCGCAACCACAGCTATGTGTTAAAGTTTGTGTTTCCGTTTTCAGTCATTTTTCATGTTGCATCAACGACAATAGAAGTGTAACAAGTAAATAAAACAAGAAAACCAAATAAACCTACACAACACACACGCGTGCGTACCAATCCTTTCCAACCTGAGCTCACCACCGATAACAAACCTCTGAGCCTTGGTTGTGACCTTCAGTCCTCACGAACCCATACTTGCTCAGGAACCAGTTTTTAATAATCATCACTTAACATACGTGCAAGTGAATTTCGAATTCGTATATTTACAAACCATGAGCTGCTTAGTGTAAGATCATGATGCGAACCACAGAGCCAGACGTCTTCTGACAATAAACTTACTGATCTAGGTTTTATCAACATTTTTGTAAATCTACAGCCATCTCTACCATTAATATGCTTACACGATTGTCCAAAATAATGGTAACAAAGTGAAACAAGACATTTTACTCATTTCAATTTAACCACCACTATAGTACTTTAACCAAACGCCAAGTCCTTCACCTACATACACAACATGCCCGAGATAACGTTACTAAAGCTGTAATATGTTTCTGACCATCAGCAACTTCTGAATGTAATTTTGAACTTTACAATTAGGACAGAGTGAACATTTATCTCCTTGATTTTAAATGGCAAATGAGTTAGGAATCATTGCAATTATATATATTTAAAAAAACTCTTTAATGTTGTTGATCTTCAACCTGGCATGTAAGTTGCCCTGTTTTCTCAAAATGTGAAAACAGGTACAACGGCATGTGATTATACAGAGATATATACACTCTATGTACAGGGTGTAACAAGTTACTACACATACATGTACAGCCCTTTTTCAATGCACTGCTGAATTCAGGGCCTCCCCACACCATGCAGGTCGTGGGGGATATTTGACCATACATCCACCATACTGATCAGTGCAGGTTGCCAAAGGTGGGAAGCATACACGTGGGAGCATAGATATATACAGTGCAATGTATTTTGCCGCATTGAAAACTAAATGACTTGCAATGATCACGTATTGTTCAACTTAACGCAGTCTGACACGGTATAATATGAATAGACGTCTATATTAAGTGGAAATAAATTAAAGAAACAAGCTTTTCCTAAGTCCAAGAGCAAATGGTAATGAGTATCCATCTAACGGATGCACCACCTCATTGAGTAACAGCGATTCATATGCTCACAATACATGCAACGTGCACAAGATAATTGACTATTTACAATTTATGAGAGTGATACGCTCATTCTACATTTTAGTTAATGGAGTGATTAAAATTTTACAAAGACGGAGAAACAACAACAACACAAAGACGGTAAAAAAACGACGAAAAAAGATAGATTTTTGAATTGAACTAGGGCCCTCAAATCGTGACAATTCATAAAATTGCTGGAGGGTGAAGAATCATTACAGGCCTAGTTACAACACAGCAGCCAATTAGCCCTCACACAAAAAAGGTTTTGCCGCAACAAACGGGGACAATCGATTATGAGTTCATCCAACCTGTGCATGATCACAATTGCACTTCTCACATGTGTAATCATACGCCATGTAGTATTAATTACAAATAAAAAAGCAACCCACTGCCTGCCTTGGGATACCGCTCAGCGCAGCAGGGCCGCCATTTGCTCTCTACGTGTCAAATAACACAGCTGGCCGCCCTTGCAAAGGAGATGGACCATCTCAAGGAGAATATTCAGGAGAAATCTTACTAAACAAATATGTTGAATTTCGTTCGCACCATACGTAGCCAACTGTGCTAATCAGAGGTCCGGGGGAAGGACAAAGTAAACACAACAAGCAGTTCTAAACAAATTAGTTTTCAAACTAGATTTAAAAGTGCATAGCTCCAGTGGCTTCCTAATATCGAAAGAGCATTCCAGACGGCCGCAGAAGCGCATCTGAAAGCGCGCGATGCAATGACCGTCTTTGTTCAACGGTTGGCCAAAAGCCGCTGCGAGGATGACCGGAATATAGTAAACGAGGTTAAGAGTTCATATCCCGGTCAGGGTTAAACCCCATTGTTGATGTCCCTTCTGGGGAGTAATGTGGGGATCACCTGGTGAGGCTGTTGCACTCAGTGGCAAGTCACCAGTGATTATCCTTGAGAGATAGGGATATACAATAACAATGCGGATTTCCACCTCTGGGTCAGGATGAACAAGCAACACTTGTTTACGCCAGGGGGATGCTGTTTTTAATGTTGATGTATCTATCCAAATGGAGTAAACTACAGGCAGTGAACATGAGAGAAAAGGCTATTCAAAGTATGCACATTTGCACATCACTCACTACGTGTTCAATACTGTCTGTAAAACATATATATAATTTACAGCCCCTTTTCAATCCACTGTTGGATTAGTGCCTCTCCATTCTGTCAGTCATGGCAGTTATCTGACCATATTTCACTTTGTTGGTCAGTGTGGCATAGTGAAAGGGGAGATGCTTAGGATCAGTAATCACTCGCCACTGATGTTAGTTGTGGTCGGGAATCTAACTCAGCTTTACAGGTTCATAGTGCAGAGTGCTAACCACTACATCACCACCTACCCCAGGCTTGATATAACCATATATAGTAAGTAGGTAAAAACACTCTTTTCATCTCCTTATTTCCAAATCTTTTTAAATGCTGCAAAAAAAAGTAGTACAATATTGTGTATACATGAACTTAATATATTTATGCATAATATGGTAACTTCTAGCATTGCATGTTTTTTTGCACACAACTGAATTAAGAACTGCCAATTGGTATGCATGAGCAGATAGTTTGTGATCTGAGAAAGCCTGGTGGGTGAGACACCGTCTCAATTGAGTCTCTGCACCGGACACACAATCTCATCGCTATCCTTACACAACCGCTATACCCATGACCAATGATCTCATTTTAAGGCCAGTGAAATACATTCTCCCAAGACCACTGCAGGCTCAATAAACTCATTCAGCCGATTTGACATTCCACCCATACTGTGTGGTTCTTCGCGATTACAGAACTACTTGTGAAGCCAATTTGTATTGTTTTGCATCCACCCACTACCAGCATTTCCCTTTGCAGAACATTACAATCTACAGTAAAAAAAAGGAAAACACAAGGAGTGTTCTCGATTTTCTCTATGTTGCCGTCGTTCTGTTGATATTATTGGTGTGGGGGGGGGGGCATTTTAGACGACTTTGCAGACCGGTCCACGGTGACGTCTTATTGCGAAAAAAATAATACACCCATCAATTTGCCGCATAGTTTAAAGAAAAGAAAATTGGAAGCCGCATTCGATTTCTCAATATGCATGAGGCCCAAATCCGCGCCGAGCTTTAACCCCGATCTTAGAAGAGCTCCTTTCAGGTGCCACTGTGAGCAGATCTGCCTGCACCCTGGTTACCGCGACGCTGGGGTGGCAGGCGACCCCACATGACCAGGTAGCCCGTTCACGTGATGCAGCAGTCGAAGGCAGCGTACGTGCTCAGCCTCTGCCCCTGACTGCAGTAGTTTCAAGTGCTGTTTGTACAACAAATAAAATACGACAATAATAATAAGAAAGGGACTGCAGCTCAGTTTATGTTTACACTCGCGTGGAGCCCAGACGACTGGACTGGACGCATTAGAGGAGGCAGTTTATAACTCGCTTGGTGGTTTTAAGCGTCCCTCTCGGTGGAGACTCTCAGGAGTGGTCCATGCTGTCCAGACTCCCCCCCCCCCCCGCCACCATCCACCCCAAAGCGATGGCGTCGTGAGAAGAGTTCCTGGCGCCGGCCACTTCGAGCGTTTGCGTCTTCGGATGTTGGAGGGGGGCGGGGGGGCGGGACTGGTAAGGGTACAGTGCCGCTTTGAAATTTATTGGAAGCTTGTGGTCATGGATAAGATGGGTGGGGGAGGGGAGCAGAGGGGCCACTGCACCCCAAACGACATATGGGGTCTCCTCCCACACCCACGGCCTACCCACTACCTTGCGCCCACCACCGCAAGTGCCCCGACAGTTGTCGTCAAACGCAATCGACGGGGAAGAGCTGAATCTGGCGTGGGGACCAGTGCAGCCCCACGGCGGTGTTGTAGATGAGCGACCAGACGTAGGGGACGAAGAACTCCTCGGGGCTCTCCTCCTCCACGTACTTGAACTTGAGCTCGGGGAATTTCTGCTCGGATGGTGAAGCGGGTGGGATGGGGGTCGGAGCAGGAAAACGGTGAGCGAAGGCGGGGGGGGGGGGGAGAGACAGACGACGAAGGGGAGACGAAGGGGGAGAGAGGTCGGCGGGGTACGGCGACAAAAGCGAAAAACAAAAATTCCTTCAGTAAACAAATAGTGAATATGAAACACGATTACTTTGAAGTACAGCTTCTCAAAGTATATACCCAATTTTTTTGTAACATGTTTACATTAAATTTTGATTTAAAGCTTTCGTGACTGCAGTAATTCATATTCATGGTTCTTTCGGTAAAGTCACGTTTGTGTTATATATATTTTATTATTTTGTTTCCCTTCAACGTGACTTTACCGAAAGAACCAAGAATATGTTTACATTCGTATTATTATTTACGGTCGACATGTTTTGTTCGCTCACGAGGGGTAAAAGGGGCAGTTTAGTTGGAACTTTTGTATTTTTATGAAATAATGAATGAACCGCTAAGCTTTATAAAACCAGGGGACCAAATTCCCACAATAACAAAACAAGACTCCTCTGCTGGCATTTTCTGAACATCCCAAAAACAGCTCTTCTAATCTACATGTTTACAAACCACGCCTCTATTGCCATGGCGATGTGCAGACTCCCATACATAAGAATGCCAACACTGGTGCCAATACTTGAGAATGGCAACATCAATTCAGGTGTGCCCATGCATTAGGCTTGAAACAATGCATGGAGATTCATCGTTGGAAAAAAATCCATTCTTATGCTCAATTTATAAGCCTCGAATCCTGCGAGCAGCAATCAATTATTTGCAATTACGTACATTTATTGAATCTGTTTTGTAAACTTAGGCAATTGGAGCAAACAAAACTGCATGAGACTGAACAAGAAAAACTACAACTGAGACAGACGGTGAAAGCGTAACGAATTCACTTAATCGCTGGTGGGGGCGGAGGGAGTGAATTGTTACATGCCTACTCCTAACCATTCACGTGCGCTACAATATTGCTGGTTGTTGAGCTTGCCTGCCCTCCACAAAAAAACTATTTTTGCATGAAAGCTTCCACACAGAGGGTGGGTCATGTGACTATACTTAACCACACTGGTCAGTGCAGGTTGGTGAAGGCAGGGAGCATACACGTGGGAATGTAAAGATACAGTTTAACAATTAATTTTGCGACACTGCCCCCTGCTGCCTATGGCAACCTGTTTGTCCATGGTGGTCACCAAACCAAGGACTATACAGGTTAAAAGCTGCTTAGCTTCTGAGATCTGACGCGGCCGAGTGCATTCCGGCTAATTTTGTCAGAGGCTCAATGAGCTTTTACTGAGTTGAAGTAAGGGCTCTTCACGGGCTCATTGCTAGAAGGCACCTAATTTTAACTTGGGTAGAAAAACTTTCCTACCCGAATAAAAGGATACGAAAACACTCGAATCAGCACAAAAGGAACAGTCGTACAAATAACAAAAAAAACATGAGCACATGAGGGAAGGCGCTGGCCATGAACAAACATCGAGGGCAGCTCGGTCTGTCAGAGTTCCAGTTTATCATTTGTGCGATTAATCCAGAGCAAGATTCAGCACTGGCGTCAGAAATCCCGTCTGCCCGCGATACGCTTTGCCTATCATAGGCACCACACCGTGGGGAGAAGCGTGGAAGGCAGACGGGGGTTGAGCCCTGGGCGCCTCTGGAACACGTCCGAGCCAATCTAAAGAGGCGCGCACTTGGGCCGATAACGGGGAAAGATTCCGCATCAGGAGTCGGGGTGGGAGGGGAGTGCTAGCGGAGGACGGGGAGCAAACTGTAAACATCCCGTCTAGAGGGACAAGGGGGCGCCTGTGGTCTTTGCCAACACTTCATTTGTATGCCCACCCCTTTCATTCCGTCTCCCCCCAGGCCACCCCAAAACAATACTTTTAAATGAACTGCCCTAATACCGCATACAATGCCATTCAACCTGACCTACGAGGGAGCTGAATATGCACAAGACCGTGCCTTAACAAAAGTGAAGACGAAATAAAAATGTATACATTCAAGCCAGCTGTTTATAAGCTCCCTGAAGCAGTGGTTTGGCTGATGCAATACAAATTGTGATATTCCTTGCTGTTTAATTTCCCTGGTGTCATCATCCTAGGCTACCGCCTCACCAGGACTATGATGAAAATGGGCGTGGGCAATCTTTACACATTTATCGTGTATTGGTATTAGGTGAGCCATACCACATAGGTATCAACGCTCTTCGCTTACCAAGTTGCGCTCAGAACCTGAATATTTATTTATACTGGAGGAAGCCGATGAGCAATAAAGCTCTAGTTCACATATGCCCAGTCGGGGCGGGTCAGAACGTTACAACAACAAACAATACAAAACACAATAGGAGTGCAAAGTATAGGAAAGGTAAGCAAATCACAAAAAAACTACAAACTCACTCCAGTGAGTCGACATGGCACACTGACCTTTAGCCTGTCCTTTGGAAGAAGGATGGCTCCTTGCTTGATGACGTCCACCACCTGGTCCACAGACAGCCCCGTGCCAGCCTGCTCCAAGCGGGCCCCGAAGAAAGAGATCACCTAGGGGTGGTGGGAATATTGCAACAAATTGTTGTAGCAGATGTGGCACAATTGTCTTTATGTAAAAAGCAAAGCAGCAATGAGCCTCAAGACTCTTTTCTCAGGAGGGTCCTTCAATCCGATATTTTGGTCAATTCCTGATTAAAGTATTCTGACGCTGTTCATGTGGCTAGTCTTGCTGTTCCCGCAAATGATAATGCTCATGGTGCTTTGGACGACGGTTCTGCTGTTGCTGATGGAGTTTGATGATGATGTGTATAATTACATCAATCCTGCAGACAATCGGTTGCAGGGTGAGCAACTATGTCACATTCGGGGTCAAGAATTATATGAATTTGTATGGCTTTAGAAAAGCACAGTTTCATCCGAATTGCCAGTCAATTTACATCCTACTGGCCAAGCTAGAGGTGGGCAAAATACATTCAAATTACAAATTATTGCTGGAGTACTGTAACGTAGATACCTATTACCAACTAACCGTGTCTCAAATTACCAATCACCTTAAGGTGTGCGATTTAGATACCAGTTACAAATTACAAACGTAACCAAATCACAATACTTGAATTGCACGGGATTTAAAGACTGCCCATCTCGATGTGTGCAACGGTGCCCGCATGGCGCAAGCTCACGGTGTCGATGTTCTGCATAACGTCGGCGAAGGCGGGCTGCGCGCGGTACTGCTCAAAGAGCTCCCGCTTGTAGAGCAGCGTATAGACCAGGTTCGGGTTGTGCTGCAGAGAACTGCACAAGCACGAGTTCACCACCTCCAGCATCATGCGGATCACCTCCTCGATCACCGTCAGGTCCTGCGCCTGTGTCCCGTCGGTCGGGACACGAGAGCACGCGACAACACGCAAGCATGCAAGTGGATAAGCGGACGTGCGAGTTGAGTCAAAGGGGTTTATTATACAGGGCAACGCGGTAGGCAGGGGGCTTTATTGGGCGCCATTGGTGGTGAGATGTGGACTTCCTCGCTTGGTATGCAGGAGATCGTGGGTACGATCTCAACCGTGACGCCTGTAGATTTGGAGTGTGCATGTTCTCCCCGTGGTTGTGTGGATTTTTCTCCAGGTCCTCCGGATTTTCCCTCCACATTTTAAAACATGCATTTAGAGTATTTGGCTACTATACATTTCCACCCAATAAGCCACTTCGTTGAGCTATCATTTGTGGCCAGGTCTCTTCTGAAAAATAGCAATATAGCTCAGTGGGCCTTACCTGGTAAAATAAAAAGTTTCGTTTTAGTTCAGTATCAGCTTCTGTGTATTACATTTGCCAAACGGTGACGGAATTCTGTGAAATAAAACTGACCGAAACATGTGATCCTGCGCTGTAATTTCCTTTTCATGCAGAGGCGTTGGTATCTTCCTCCCTGGGGTGGAGAGCAATGGGGCCGAAAGCAGCAAGCAGACTTGTGGGAAAAATGTGGCCACGGCACGGTATCACAATGGCCTCGTCTTGTAAGCGGCGTCGTGGGATCTGTTTAACATTGGGAAGCCGACGAGTTGACCGGATGTCTCCGCTAAAGAGTGACGTGGCAAACGGCCCCAAGGACCCTGCAGGGGGCAGCGGGAGCGGATTTTCACCTTTTCTGCGTTTCCACGAAATTTTGCACTTTTTTTCTGGGCGTGGCGGCACACGCCTGTAGTCTGACTCGTGAACTGCGCTGGGATAATATACGAGGCGCCACATGAAAGGGGCAGCGAAGTGGCGTTTGTAGGAGACGCCGATATGCAGGGATAGCTGTAGGGCAGTGCAGAAAATAGGTTGCCGACCTATCTGTGAAAAGTTTATTCACTCGCTTGGATGAGTTTACATGCAAACAGAAGAGAAACTCAACAAAAATACCAAGCATGGTCCTCTATATAACAAGGCTTGAATCAGCGATGCTGTCAAGGGTAAACAAAGAAAATATTACAAAAATAATGTTTTGTTTTCTATAGGGGCGTTCATGGAAATTGCATTTCACAATCGCTGAGGAACCAGACAAGCTGGAAGGGAGCCAGGTGGTGACCTGGTGCCAATAATTCCCCAAGCTCTGCAGTCCTCCCTGTATCAAGATGTGTTCAGCCAATTAATGAGTATTAATACATGTGGGAAGAAACCGGAGCAACTGGAGAAAACTAAACCATGTGAGGGTGCAACACTCTATCCCATACAGAAGGGACAAATAGAGATTAGTCAACACTTTGCTGTACCGTATGGCACCTCGGCGCTCACTGGAAGGACGGTTTGCAACAGTTGTGCGATCCATCAACCCTTGTTACCTCAACAGTGCTGGATCACAAGTGTATGCCACCAGCACCTGACCTTAAATAAATGCCACGTATTTACATGTTTACGAACTATGTAGGTATGCTAGGAAACGTACGTAAGGTACATGGGAATAAATACAACATTTTACTATGTTTTCAATCATTCATGCACTGCTTTTATATACAAGAAATCCACGAGCAATTAGGCAAGGCTTTAAAGACCTGTTATCACGATTTTGCAAACTGATTTGAACAAATATTTAGGAGATTCGTCTCATTTTTCGGAAAACACAGCGGCGAGACGATCGCGAGGGCTCAAGGCCACTGGCTACCGGGATGCAGGACAAAACTGGGGGTGGTGCGGTAGGTTTCGGAGGCGACGGGGGGGGGGGGGGGGGGGGGGGTTTGTTGGGGGGAGGCAACGTTTCTCAGTGGCGCTGCTAATTAGAGATTTGTTTCTGAGCCCCGCAGTGAAAACATGCAGCCGCTAAAGTAAACGAGCGGGGCTTATCTCTGCCGCCCTTATCCAAACCTCCCCCCCGCCATGGCCCGGCCGGCCGGCCGAGCCCTTTCCCATTAATTAGCGATTAGGCTGCCGTCGCCGTCTGGGATGATATCGCGGCGGACGGACGGGCAGTCTGCGCCCCCGCGGACGGACGCACTTGCGGACACTGCGATACGATAACAAGTCACGAGCGAGTAGGACGAGGGATTAAGGGGGGCCTCGAGGGGTGGGAACGGTGCTATTGGAGGGTGGCGGTAGCCGGCAGTGGCGGGGAAGTCGGGGCTACGGGAGAGCCAATTTTTTTTTCCTAAACCCAAACTAAACACAAACGGGATTACAGAAATCCAGGCCCCAGACCAAAAGCAAAACCTGTGATGGAAAAGTATCAAAGTTTGTTTTTTAATCGTACAAAAAGGCAAAGAAAAGACGATATCAAAGGTGTGGTCTGCTGGGTAGGCGACAGCGCTGTAGTTCAGTGCACACAGAGCGTGAGCTTCTGTCTGGGCTGGGGTTCAATCTCGGCTCAACGGGACCACGGGCGGGGGTGGCAGGGGCTGAGGAAGGGAGAGGTGGCTGGCTGCCGATTCTTTCTCTGGACTGTACTGTACCACTCTGCGGAACGTTCCGGTCAAACCCGTCAAACCTCAAAACGTGCAAAATATGCACACGTGAAAAACCGCAAACAGGGGACTGAGCTTTCCGTAAATGCACGCTCAAGCCAAACCTTCTGTTTTAACAATGCTTAATCTTCAATTATAACATACAATGATTTAATTCATAATACATTATTATAGTTATTCAAAATGTGTATTAAGGTCTCAATCAGACTCAACCCTCGATTTAAGAAAAGTTCCATGGATTTGGAAAATATTCAAATTCTTGCGTGAATTGAAATATTTTGTAACGTGCACAACGCTGTTCAAGCACTGCCCTGTTGCCTGGGAGGTAAAGTCTCAATCACATCATCATGATCACAATAATGGCTCCTACCCTCACTGGATATTCAGATTCCCCATTCCTGCACGATCCACAAGTCGTTAAACGTGCTCATTGCCAACACACACAAATTCAATTGTTTATTGTGTATTGTTAGCCTAAAAATGTTCCTATTTTGTGGTGCTTGGGTGGCTCAGGGGGATAATATCATGTCAGAGAACTGAGCCCACATTGCTAAGATCCATGACTTTCAATACCTTTAGCCACCCATGCTTAAACCGGGTTCTCAAGCATAGCGAGTTAATGGTCTCGGCTTGGTATTCAATGACTGCACAACAGCCCATCGTGTTAAATGCGGTGTCACTTACTTTGACATATTTCGTCAATGCGAATGAACATTTGTGGTTTGCTTGCCATTTAAAAAGTGTGCCCCTAGTTGGGATAAAGAGGCCCATTCAAGAAACTTCAGCAGCACTTCAATGGCATCACATTTTCTGGGGCCATTCTTTGACACAAGGTGGCACAGGACGATAACCACTACTAACCAGAGTTGAAGTTACTCAGTCGAGCACAGAGCTCCTGTGGCTGTACAAACAGGCAGTGGGTATGAGAGGGGTGTGACAGTACGTCGGTGTGTCGGTGGGGCAGGAAACGTGGGCACAGCTTGGAATGCCACCTGTCCCGGTTTTTCCAAGGTTGCATCCCAGGGAAATCTGTAAAGTCTTCCTGGGATAGTAAAATTCCTCGTCTGTCAGTTGCATAATTAGAATCTTTATTTAAACTGGAGGAATCAGATGAGCTATGAAGCTCCTTTTCACAGATGTCTAAGTCAGGGGTGGGTCACCAAGTATACAACAAATACAAAAAGAAAACGATAGCAGTGCTGAATAGAGAAAAGGTAAGAAAGTCACTAAAAATAAATTAATTATATAAGAACAAATTTCAAAAGAACAAACATTCCTGACGATTTTTCAACACTAAAAGCAAGCTAGGGCAAGGCAGCAAAACAACAACAAATAATACACCACTCAAGATAATTTATTAATATGTACTATACCCTCTCTTCCGGTATTGGGAGACATACTTCTTTCCATAATAGATGCGTTTTTTTCAACATTAGGTAGAGCTTGGGGGTGGGGGGTGCACGTGAGTGCGCACTCACGTAGTCGGGCAGCGACGGGCTCCCGTCCTCGCCCAGGGATGCGCCGTGCATCTGTGTCGCCTGCTCCAGCACCTTGTTGTGTTTCCGTGACAGCAGTTCCAGGAGGCTGCTCGTCAAACAGCACGCGATACAACACGACCATCGCATCGCTCGTTGGGTTGCCGCGATACCAAATTTCGAGATACAATACGATGTAAATTTTCGTGATATGACAATTATCGCGATATCAGTTTCTCATCACTCAGTAAATGTATTTCACATTTTAATTGAAGTGTTTTTGTGCTATTCTGTATTTCCGGTAGGAACAAAGATTACCTAAAAGTTGTTCAGCTGCAGTTCACGAAATACAAGGCTGCCATAACTTTATAGTTGCCAGTAACGCGAGACATAAATAATGAAAGCTACCTCTATAATTGTCTAGGCCTTCTTTCAGTCGTGGCACAGGAAAGCAAGCCTGTTAAATCGATAGTACAAATATTTATAATGTAAGTTATTTTGCCTAAAATGTGTCAGCAAAAACTACTTTTTTAATAAAGGAGTTACAATACGACGATAAAACAGATCATATGATCATCCTTGTATCATCATGATAAAGTGTAGTATTGAAATATTGCGGGAACCATAATTGCATGGCGCAGTAGTCACGTGGGCAACAGCACAGGCCAAACTTGGGCTTTTGTGTTTACGAGAGCGTATAAACAAACAAAACCCCAACATTGCCGCAAAAGAAAGGGAGAACATGTATATTTACATGCGCTAACACACATGTGTATATAATCATTTACGCACGCACAAACACGCGTGCACATGCGTTACTACTTTTTGGGTGAAATGTTTTTATACAAATAATTTAATTGTCAGTCATTCACTGCAAAGAAAAGGAGCGAGTGTTTACTTAAGATGCACCCTGCTTTAAAAGAGACTTCTCCCGCAATAAAACTGGACAATGTAGGACAAGAGTGAGGGACTGGAGTCGTTTTTTTTTATTCTTCCAAAACGGGATGCACGCCACGGCCCTGAATATCCTTTAAAAAGCACAAAGAATGAGATTTCCTCAACATAATGGTCATGGCAACAGGGAAACATGACCCTCCATAGGGCTCAACAGTCCGACAGTAGCCAAGTCGGATCTTGTGTTGTTTTGGATATTTTTTTCTCTCTCCTGAAGGTTATTCCCATGCACGGTGTCTAAAATAAACTGAGAGCTGGCTGTGGAATTCCTTCAGTATCGTCACCACCTCCACCACCGTCGCCACCTCAAGTTGTCGCATGAGTGTGCCATTCATGTGATGATCACCAGGGGTTGTGACGCTAATTATCCCAAAGCTGCTGAAAGCCTCCGTGTTTATTGACTTTTCCAAAGTAGTAGGAGAAATAGCTCGGCTTACACGCATTGAAATGTATTTGTTTAAGTTGAGTAGGTTCCCATTTTCTAATTCGGCATTGTTTCCTTTCAACAGCTACCGCTGGCGTTGTGTGCGGTGATTAATACGTTGTTTTTGAAAGCTTGTTCCTGATTTTAACTGTTACTGGATATAATCTGTCAAGCATAGCTTACTTCATCAAAAAAAGTATTCACTATATCCAAAATGCATTCATGCAACTATACATATAAAACGTATGCATGTTTTCCTGTTTGCAATTTGGGAATGTTTTTTTTGGAAAGATTGATACATGGGATTAATACTTTTGTTTTTCCAAACCTGATTAGAATAAATGGCACCTATTTTGAATCATCCCCCTTAAGCTTCAGAACTTTGCGGAAATTAATTTTGGATTAGAAAGCAATTTCTTAAATAAATGATTAATTCCCAAAAGTTTTAATCTCATAATTCCTTTGTTAAGTATTATTTTTATTTTGCATCTTGAGATAAAAATTTATGTATGTCCAAGGGGCTGTTCTAACTCTAAATCGCAGAAACTTACTTGATGTGCTGCTAGCTAAATACCATACAATTTGGATTTACATCGCGTTTAAACGTCAACGCATTTCAATATGCTCATCGAGGATAGAGCAGATGGCTCATGCTCACAATAATCTCACAATAACAACAGCTCACAACCTCAGAGTGATTCACAAACCTGACCTTTAAGACAAGAGACGCGAGACGTGCATCACCACCACACCTGGCTACGGCAACATCCACACATGCGGTGTCATTGTTCATTCTGAACAGAAGCAGCGGCACATCCCAGGCACTGAATACACAACAATGAGCAGCAGGGCCGAACCTCATGATGCGCTGGGCAGCATACTGATGCAGCGAGTGGAACTGGGCAGACATATTGGCGAGGGCAGCCAGGCAGTTGGTGTGCAGATATTTGTCCTACAGTCACACGATGGAAACACACTGATGAAAAGCCACCAAAAGCTATATTACACATGTACTCACATGCAAACGGAATTGGTTCTCCGAATTAAATAACCGTATCTGGATACCACTCTTTGTTATTTACGAAAAAACATAAACATAATTTTTGCTTAGATAAAGATTTACAGCCGTGCCGATAAAAAAAAATAGGGTCTACCAATATGACCTCCCAGTGTAAGGGATTGAACAAGATGAATCAGGACAAGGGACGGAGCAGGGGGTGGAAGACAATGTTACGAGAGTTGCGCCGCCGTCTGGCATTTTCGCGCCACCGCACGGCGTTGCCGTCACAACAAAGGAAGCGATTGGTGCCAGTTCGGTGGGCGGGGGGGGGAGGAGTGAGGATGTAGGAGACATGGGGGACATTGGAGAGCAGTGGACAGAGTAATATTGCATGGCTCATGGGACACACAAACCGCCAAGATGTGTTCCCGAAATATAATAAGTTGTGAAGGCAGCACTAAAGTAAAGTAACTTTGTTCCTTCTGACAAATACAGCTCAATGCTATTGAGAGATCTTAAATAAAGTTCGTAGTGTGGGAAACGAACAAGCTTTTTTCTTGAAATGGTTTATCAGCAAAGCAAACGAACAAAGAGAGCTCACAGACATAACCATATTCCACTAAAGTGTTTTCAATACACTTGTAAATGGGTGTGAATGAATGAATATCCTAAATGAGGCTGAAGCATGTTGCAAATCTTTCAACGCAAGAGTGCACAACTTTGGTCTTCGAGGGATGCATTCTTCAAAGTTTTATTTATAAATGAAATCTCCAACCACTTTACAGCTAAAAACTATGAACAAACGTACACTTCATAAAACTGTGAATTAAATAAATTGTTTCATTCTGTAACCGAGAGCTCAAATGCATTCTCTCAAGCTTTCGCCGAAGCTTTGAATGAATAAACGCTCAACATGTGGCTGACCGCGGAAGACCACACTTGGATTACCAATGGCTGCTAAAACCTACGTGTGAAACGGAGAGCTCAGTTGGAACGAAACCAGAAGACATTGGCGGCCCTTGAGAACCGGAGTTGTGCACGGAAATCGTCGCTTTTGCAACATGCACACAAGGCCCTGTCGCGTTTGTGGCTTCCACGGCTGCAGCTGGCACTAGTTCAGAGCGATCGCACTAGGAAGTCGGGGGGGGGGGCAGTGCGGGGCTCCGATAAAATCAGTCGTGGTGACGCACACACGAGTGACTGACCCGCGTGCGCGTCATGTTGTACTGGATGGTGCGGATGACGACCAAGATGAGGAGGCTGCCCAGGGAGATCTCGGAGAGTGCGCGCTCCGTGTACCACGGCACATGCCTCAGCATCTGTGACACGCGAGAGTGCATGCGACAGTCGGCATACAATCGTGAAAAATCATTATAAATGAACGGAATGTGACATTGGAAGGAGTGTCTTGTGTTGGTTGTATAAGAGGTATCCATTGGTAGAGAGATCAGAAGTTGTTCTGGGGCGGCACCCTTGCGGCAGTTTGTTTGCATGGCGATATCTCACAACAGCATCTTGAGATGTATAATTTAAAGCTGAATTATAATTGTATTGTACACAAACGGGGCTGGAAGGGTCAATTGTGTTTCGAACTGTGGATGCTGGGTTGGGCATTTGTCGTCCCCATATAATTTTGAAAACAAGTGAGAATAAAAACAAAACTTTTTTAAAAAATAAACAAAATAGTTTGCAATAGCCAGTTGACCTACAGGAATTGGCCTTGATTGGTCCTCCTTTGTCATACCTGCTGCTATTTAAACTTCACGTGAAGTGCAATAATGTAGAAGGATTAAGGAACAATATAAACAGGGCTGCTTTGGTTTACTGTAATTAACTTATGTGACGTTGCTGGGTTTGCGGCCGATTATAAACAGAAATGGATCATTAAAAAAGCACTTTGGTGGCGGCGCACACACTCACCACCTCGTGCACCGAGCGGTTGAACGCGTCGTCCTCACTCATGATGAGCAACACAATGAGCGACATGTACACGTGGTGCGAGTTCTTCTGCTCGGCGTGGTACAGCGTCTGCAGGATGGGCAGCACCTGTTGCACACAAAAATAAACCCCAGCAACCACCAAGCATTATAAGATAAAGACCGCCCCCACCCCCCTATATAGCATATTAACAGACTGTAGCGGAAAGTGCTGTGCATGAGCACAACACGATTATTTGACCAGTTCAAATAATCGTCATTGGTGTTGACCGTGAGCGCGAGTCAAAATGGGGTTTCCGAGTTAGTAGCGCAGCACGCTAACCATTACACTACCACTTCTCACTAACAAAGCATTATATACACACATACAGCAAGTATATCAGAATACATGTTTCTTCAATGCTCCAATAAAAAAGTGGGCTATTATACGGCTTAATCAGGTTACAAAAAAACAGCAAGTTAACATCTACAAAATAACTGCCCGTTTAATCATTACATATTTTTGCTTGGGAGAGTGTAGGTGTAATAATTTTGCATCGCACAATTTCCCAAACTCGACCCCTCGTGACCTCCCGTGATCCACCTATCACCATCGCCAGTATTCTATGAATACAATTGAATCTAAAATACATTATAAATTCGCCTGTGACCAGATCAGCTGGAATGCACCCAATTCGCGAAATTGCGGAAACAAAGCAAGGACTGAACCTGGACAGCGCTTGGGACACACAGAACGGATGTTAGATGCCACTATGTGGCTATGGCGTGGGCACTGGAAAGGACTGCAGCAAAATCGATGCCCTGTTAGACTGTACCATGGTTCCTACGACTCCACCTCCCGACCACGTCATTGCGAGTGATCGACCATGCGATTGCTGTGCACGTTCCAGGCGGCGTGCTTGCGTGCGTGCGTGCGTACGTGCGTCTCACCAGCGTCTCGGTGTCGGTGCGTGCCAGCACGTAGGTGCGCACGTTGGTGTTCTGGTGCAGCAGCAGATAGAGGAAGAGAGTGGCCTCGTCGGTGCCCTGCCGCTCACACAGCGCCGTGTACAGGCTGTTGAAGTTGATCTGGAATGTGGGCTGCTCCTGCGGCGCTGTGTCTATGATATTCAGGTTGAGTCAAAAAATACCTAGGGTCAATTATTCGGCCAATTAAATATTTTATGCAATCAAATGTATTTTTTTATTTTTGTTATGTACAGAAATCGGTCTCAATCCAATAACTGGATGAAAGCCTCCCCACATCGTGTCAGCCATTGGGGTTGTTTTGACCATACTTCAACTGCGTTCGTCTGTGTGGGTTGCATTAAGCGTGGGAGGTGGGGAGCATTGAATAGATATGGATACAATTCTGGCCGCAACATAACGCCACAGCCTCTAACAACTTGTAATGACCTCTTAAGCATGGTGGTCGCGAAGCGTGGTGAAGTACGGTAAAAACATCCCCCATGACCAATGTAGCATGGCGAGGCTTTCATCCGGCAATAAACTGACAATGGACTTTACATCACATAACATGTATGGGTACACCTAAGGAGATGTACAGTTTACTTGCAATAACGACACCGAATTCCAACGCGCTCCACCTGGCTGTGAGTGTGGCAGTTGAGACTGCGTTGCATGTATGTATGTAAGTTTAACTTCTTTCGCACCGTACGCAGCCAAGCATGCTAATCGAATTGCACACCTTGCGTGTTGTGGAAGGACAAGAGCGCTCGGCGATATGGGTTCGCCTGCTCCTCTGTCTCGCTCAGGTTCATCAGTGCCAGCAGTAACAAAAGGCTCTGATTGGCCAGCGGCGAGGACCCCTCAGCGTGCTGCTGCGGGGTGGCCAGTTTGCCGCCTGACGCCGCACCGCCCAACGTCAGCACGGTCCACAGTCCAGCTGATGAGAAAGCAAGTAACAGCACGACATATATATAAAAAACTATTAATTTATTGAAATGTTTGTTATTATTCTCATACTGCGAGCAACACAAAGTAGTTCAAGAATGAGCAATACACAAAAGCTAATTTTTTTTTTTACATTTCTCAACAAAAAGTCTTTATGGAGAGAGGGAGATAACCTGACTTGGAAAGCAGGCAAACACACGACATGGCCCATTATGATTGTCCAGTACAATATCTATTGACGACGGCTGAATTGCAATATTTTCAAATGACCGTATCATCATACTACTATTAATGATCATGAAGGTTGTTTGTCCATCATTCTGCTTTTTTTTAAACATGCATTGCTGTGTATATTTTCTACGTGATTTATGTACTTCTGTTAGCTTACACCATGTGTATGAACATTCTTTTAGGATAATACACTCATGAAAAGCCTCCCTCTTCGTGCCAGTCACAGGGGTTTGTTGACCTCGTCATTCTGAGACCCGCTGTGCACACGGCCACAATGACAAAATTGTGCCAAAGGCACCACCAAAAACGATTGTAGAATATAGACATTTTAACAAATACAACACTTTAGTAAACACTGCCGCTAGCAGTCCACAAACAGCTGCAACTACCACGCTGTGGAATCATCTCATTACAAACGAAGCTTGCATGCAGCATTAGAGCGCAAGTGGGGTCCACTCACCACATTTAGCACAAAAGTCGACCTCTGTGACATCTATAAGCAGATTTAACATTAGTTTGGTGGAAGGCAAAGATGACAGGACAAATATTAACAGAAGCTAGCTTAATCTAGAAGTAATAAAGACCTCATCAACTTATCCATAAGAGGTCTGAACCTATTTTTTTTTATTCTACGACCAATTGCATTCCGATTGTACAATCAATCTTGTCATGTGTCAACATCATACCAGGGACGGGCCCGGATGAATCTACCACAGGACTACTTCCTGCGTCATTTCCAGAGGCTTATCCTATCCCCAAAACAAGACAATGCTGCTTTGTGCTCGATAATGGTGGTATTATGTGCATCATTCACCAATTTATTTATGTAATTTAGTCCTAAGCAGTCAAATTAAAAAGTATAAACGTAACATCAAATTGTATGCGACGGTGCATGGTTGTAGTCACTGATGACCAAATCGTGAGTACCAATTCACTATCCTTGGGACGCTGGTTTGATCATAGGGAGCGAGCCAGGATATGAATCTCAAACCAATGAGCATCATTTCTTCAAAACATAAAATATACACGTTCAACAATAGCCAACAATGATTCACTGGCCTCCATTGATTCCAACTGTCACGATTCAATTCAATGAAAGATTTTACGATCTCTTTTGTATCATTTATCTTTTATTCTGTGGCATTTATTCAGCCTTGCTTGCACCATTATCCTTAATGTAACATATTTTCACAGGCGTTATTCATTGCATGTGTGGTGAGAATTGAAATAAGACACTAATCGTCGAAATCGATCAATCACTTTCTGATGTGTTATCAGGTTGTACGCACAGCAGAACAACACACGGCACAACGCGAAAACATATCCGTTCGTTCTACAGCACAGCCACGAAAACCCGTGTAGTTGAAGCGACGTATCTTGTCGCAACGCACAACGAGCGACGTAATGAAACAAAAAAGACCGCGAGGGGTCGGTGGACGTACAGGCAAGTCCCGAGAGGAGGCCGCTGCCCCGGCCATGGGCGCTGGGGCTGCTGATGTGGGGGGGGCATCGCTCTTGCCTGATAAAGTGGTACATGAGGGCCTTGACCAGGCGGCTGGCCAGCTCACAGCTGCACACACGTGTCCACGTGGAGATATTACAAAAAAAGCTTCCTTCATTACAGTCAACACAAAGAACAATTTTTACATAAAGTAAAAAACAAAATTGCAACCGATAACAAGAATAATTTGTTTACCCAGAAAATTAAAACGAATACATCTGAAAACTATTTTTACAGAAAGGCCCCACTGTGGGCGGATGGCAAAATTCCTTTTTTGGAGTATTTTTGCGGGTGGCAGAAAACCGGAATGCATGGAAAAAGCTCACACATACAACAAAAACATTTAAGTGCTGCGAAGATTATTTTTTGCACTGCCTCCTAAAAACATCTCACTGCCTTGCATGTGGTTTTCTCCAGCACAATAAGCTTCATCTCCGTGGCATCCACCAATCCAGCCTCGCAGTTAATGGATCGACAGACACGCCCCATTATACATGTGGGTGCAATTCTTACTTATATTTTCTGTTCAACTTCCTCACGCAATAAGCTCGAATGTGTTTCATACAGACCAGGCTTCTTCAACTGGGTCACATCTAGCCTGTGAAGGCCAATAGAATAACGAACAGAGCTATGGTGTGCCAAGAAATATGGTTCAGATTAGTGAGATGAAAAAGTTACAAACAAGAGACAGATGACAAATTTGCAAACAAGAGGTGAAAATGAGTGATATGAAGGCGAGGGAAACAAGAGACAAAGATGAGAGAGACCTGGGGGCAAGAGGTACAGATCTGTGGGTCATGTACAGATCGTATGGCATTACGATACCACGTTTGTATGGTGAACTTCTTTTGCACCGTACATAGCCAACCGTGCTAATCGGAGGTACACTGGAAAATATAATTGAAGGATCCTAATATAGCGGATATAAAATTTAATCAAACCACACAAGTGAATGCCAACAGTGCCCTGCAATGTAATTGGACTGCATGAGGTGAATGACTTATGTTTAGGCGAGCGGACACTCACCTGCGCCCCTGCGTGAAGAGGTGATAGAGGGGCCCGTCCCGCACCACGTGCCGCTGGTGCAGCTGTGCCGCCAGCAGCACCATCAACGTCGTGACCGCCTCGAGGTGGATGCAGTACGTGATGTCCCTGGGGGGGCACAAACAGGATTGGTACAACCACCCCATAGCACCCACCAGACACCACGAGCTGCCACCCCAAACTCAGCACCGCCCCACCGACCAGTAATGCTCAGCAGGACATGACCTCAATGGATTCAGTTCTTTCCATTCGGTTCCAATTAAATTTCTCATGGCATGATTTGAATTCCAGCTACAATATCATGTCCATCTGGCTTCACAATATGCTGTTACCGTACATTGTCTTCCCATTACCTTACGATTACGAGCGCACTCTGCCCACTCATTAGACTCTCTGAAAGGGACACCCATCACCAAGCGCAGGTGGCACGTAAAGCTTCGATTACCCTAGTTATTCGATAAACCATTGCAATTCCGGGTCAATCTTGTTTCTAGTTCCTTCCGTTGTGTTTATACAGTTATGTCCATGCCATGAGCTTTAAATGTAACATTAGCATATTAATAATTATAATTTCAATAGTCACTCTCACACAAATAATGAAATGCATGTATGGTAGTAATGTTATCCTTATTAATTAATGTATTTCCGCATGCCAAATGTCGACCCTACAGCTGTTGGCCGTGCAGCAGCTGCCCCCTAACGGTCCTGTTTTGTATCTGCAAATGAAGGTGCTCATGAGTGGTTAAACTTTAACCTTGCTGCAGTCATCTGCTTCCATGGGACTTGTAGATTTAAATTTTCATGGAATATTTTTACACAAGCTGCCATGTTATAATTTTCACCGATTCATGTCCTTTAACCAAGTGAGATATACTGAGATAATTTCATGCACTTGCAAGTGGCAAACTAGCATATCACTGTAGAGCTACTAGTACTTTAAGTCTATTTGCAGGTTATATTCAAGTAACCATTGCTGTACAGTAAAATAATTGTACTTTTAATAGAGCATTTAGTTTGGATTTGGCCTATGACACTGATCGTACACCTGAATTATCGATCGTGAATGATGACATCACAGGTCATTTAAAATTACTGTTACAGAATAAATTTGCTAATAATTTGAAGTATAAATTACTGGGCAGCTGTCATGGGAATGCAGAAGAAATTAGCAAACGCTGCAAAATAGTATGGAGGTCGGTGTGTTTGTCAAGGCATAAACCCCACATCTGAGCAATTAGCCACAATTTTCAAGCGACTTACAGCAGAGGTACTTCAATGATGAGGTGAATAAGGTGCAAGACCATGTCCTCCAGCAGAGAGCCACCTTCACTTTCACTTTCTGCAGGACACAAGGCACAGAGCAGAGTGAATCCTAACTGTCTTGTCATTGAAGGTATTGTAATTATTATGCTTGGATTTAAGTGACAACTCGTGTGTACATGTACTCAGCCCTTTGTCAAGCCACTGCTGGAAGGCCTCCGCACGCCGTATGAGTCGGTGGGACTATTTGACTGTACTTTGCCACACTAGTCAGTGCGGGTTGGTAAAAGTGGGGAACAGATGCAGGAGCACAGTATAATAATCGATCTTGTTGTGCTGAGTATGAGCTCTCTGCTGCCCATAACTATAAAAAAACTATATATTTTTTACCAGATAAGGCCCACTGAGCTATATAGCTCTTTTTCAGAAGCCACCTGGCCATGAATGATAGCTCAATTAAGTTGCTTATCACATGCAAATGTATAGTAGCCAAATACTCCATATGCATGTTTCTAAATGTGGAGGAAAAAACCGGAGGACCCGGAGAAAAAAATGCACGTGACCATGGGGAGAAAATGCAAACTCCAAATATAAAGGCGTCAGGGTCTGGATCGAACCCATGAGTTCCTATATACCAGACGAGGTAGTTAACATATTGGCAGCTCCCCTGCCTATAACAACATGTTACACATGGTGGTCGGCCATCCAAGCGCTATACAAAGATCAATCCTGCTTAGCTTCCAAGATCTGACAAAATCAGGTGCAATTCAGGCAAAGTGATCAAAGGCTACTTCCAAAATTAGACCTATTCAATTTCTGTGTCACGCCTTCCTTTCAAATGAATGGGCATTACCAGCATCCGAATAATCTTGAGTAGCCTTTATTTAGTCAGGAAATAACTGACTAACCTTGGCAGGAGCCTGGGGTGACAGGGCTGTAGGTAAAGTGCATCACAAGATCCTCCTCGCTCGTGTGGCTCTGGAGTGCCTTGATGAGGCAGCGCACAATGAACAGGGCATTGTGCGCCTGCCAGATAAACAGCTCACTGGTAGGAGGGGGAACAGGGAACAGACCGGAAAGCACGATTGGACGGCAGTGGCGACAACAAAAAGACAAAGATTCCCCCATTGTAGCCTTAACAGACTTTTTGGTCAAGTGCTGTTAGTGAGTGGCACCCATGAAGGCTGAAACGGTACATGAGGGAGTGGGTGACCAGCACTACGCCCGACCGCCTTTGTCTCTCTCATGGCGATGTTTACACATCACACCAGGTACTCATTTGAGGCTGAGTCGACCTAGAGGAGGCCCAGAACAGGTTCAGATAATCGTTGCTGGTGTTGGTCTAGAGCGGTTTATTAAGCAGCACGCTACCTGCTACACTACCGCTCCCCTGAATAACATGACGTGCACACACATAACGTCAACCTGACACACACACAAACGACTGCTAGCTCGACATGAGGAGGCGACATCCCACAATTCAGACGCTGCTTAGTGTTTGTCTAGCGTGCATACAGCGTCTGTGGACTGACAGCACTATAGGATTTCATTGTAGATCATGTTTGCCGTATTACTTTTTAGTCAATTTGAAGGGATTTTCTCGGAAAAATGTGCAAACAAAGACGTCAGCGTTTAAACTTGAGTTGAACAAAAGGTCAACGGTTAAGTATGTTTTGACCTGTGTGCTCAACTGCTTAAAAAGAAACAAAAAAAACTAATTCCTCTTTTAGTCTCAACTTTAAATATAAAAACTTACAAGTTTGGCTGCAGCAACATATCTTAACGTCTTCACAATGTGTGAGCAGTCAGAAGTCAGACTCATTGGGGCACTGGCAGCTGGCAACACCTGGTGTGGCTCTACAGATCAGTGTAAACTGGAATATAAAACACTGGGGGATCACTGCCTACTCACTTTTGGCATTCTGCAGAGATTTTCAGTTCTTTGGTTCTGCTGATGAATACATTCACGAGCGCGGCAAAGTTTCCCGTGCGAGGATTGTTGTTTACTGCACAAAACAAAACGAAGTGAACATTATGCATGACGCATGATTGTGATTCTCACTCTATGCTTCATAAAATAAGTAGAATTTCTAAATAACCAAACTTAAGTGACCATGGCACTGGAATTTTACCACCATCGAATTCTGGAATTTGACCTCCAGGTTCTCATGTATAGTGAGCATTCAATCATAGCCTGGTGAGCAATGACTGCACAAAGAAGTAATTGTTAAAACTGTGGCATTTCTTCTTCTCAATCAGGCACGTATAACAGGGCTTAATCAACAAAAGCTGTGCATTGCTACAACTCTATTTATGGGGTGACTATTTTATAACGAGACCGAGTAAATTTCAAACTGGTCTATGATTACTTTTCTTAAAAAAGGCCGAAATCCCAACGGATGAATTTTCTCCCAAAGGTTTGAACACAATGTTAATTTTAATAGAATTTAATCTCACTCATTATTTTTACATCATCAACATCAGCCACGGTCTATCCATTGCTGGATAAAGACCTCCCATCGCCATCTACGTCTCTCACAAGTGTTATGGCACAATCCATCTTTCTCTTGCAGATGAGCTCATCTCTCCATGCTCAACTTTGTAGTCTTCATTGTGAGGTTATTTAGTTCATTACCATTGGTTGCTAAATCTAAAATTATTGATATTTATGTTTCTGCTTTTATTTCGCCATCCAATTTTCAGAAAATATCATATATCACTGTGAAAAGTCTTGGTGAGATTGCATCCCCTTGCCTAACTCTTCTCCTGCTCATATTTTGTAACCTTTTTCATGCAATCACCATGTAACTGTTCAATCTTTACAAAATATTTCACTGATTTGTAAAAAAACATCATTCAGGCATTGGTTGATTCAAGTGTAAAAGTAATGTAGTAATTAATAAAATCATGGATACGTCGTGCACACAAGTGCTGATTGATCAAGCACTGTGACATTTACATGGGTGACTTACTCAGGCTCTTGCAGATTGATTCCGTGGCTTCCTCCAGAAGTCTGGAATCCGAACTGTGTAAAGCCAAGACATGAAATCGAACCGTGTTTAATGTGAAAAATTCGATATCCTTCAAACACAAAATAATCAACTTTGTTTTCCAAACTGGAAGAGAGCCTCCATCAGTCCAGTGTCCACAAAAAATATACATTCCAGCAGCTACTGCTTGAGTGTTAAACAAAATCAACAAATGAATGCATAGAAATCTGTTTCCGTCACCAAGTCAATCGTGGCTAAATTAAAATAAAAAACTGAGTTGTATATAAAATAAAAATAACACCCAATAACATGGTGTAAACATTGGACATTCTTTTTTAAAACCTCTGATTGACCTCATTTAGAGGTCAAACATTTATCAAAGTACAGCCAGTACCTCTTGAAAGAACCAAAGAAGATGAATCATGCCTATGTCAAGAATAGCTCAATATTATTATTATGCTTGTTCACCCAGGGAGTCTCATAACTCTTTTCAGGAGGGTCTTGGCAAGTTTTATTGGAGTGTGGGGCAATGATTGTGAGTAATTCTTAAAATTTGGCAAATTATTATCAATTAGGTAAAACTAGGTGAGAGGCCATTGAGACTAATCATCTCTTTTTTTAAAGAAGATCTGGATAAGTTGTTCAAAGCCGACATTTATGAACTCAGGAGGCAGTTGAAAGAGCTCGGCTGTAATGGAACCAGAATGAATGATTCTCAGTGCTAATTCCCAGAACTGTATATATTTTAAGCAAGATCTATAAAGAAACAGTTATAAAAAACGTTAAAAGATAACAAAATTAACCATATAATTATCCCAGTGACGAGTGATAGTTTCCCCGATGCAACTCTATTTGTAAAGCACTTCAAATGCAAAAAGGATGTATTCAAATATCAAAAAGTACACCGAATGCAAATATCTGTGCAACAATCTGACAGACTGCAAAAACCAGTCGTGTTCATTAACATAGCATAGGTGCCATATGCGGAGGTGTGATGAACATGGCATTTTAAATAACTCCCTCAAGTAAGAGAAACTCTAAACTGGCCTTTCTTTAGCCAATGAAAATCTTTACCCCTCACCCAGTTCAAGTGACAGCGGCTGAGGGGGACAAACTGTATGGGTGCAGCGCCGGCTACCTGTTGGTGGGTGTTGCAAAGGAGAAGGAGAGCAGCTGGTTCCAGAAGGGATCGTTGTGCGAGACGGGCTCGGCGCTGGCGAGACGCCGTAGGTACTCGTTGTCCGTCAGCTCGCTGATGCTGCTGCTGTGCGCCCCCATGATAGAAGCTGCGTGCGATCACCCGCTCCCCCACAGCATGGCCCTGGCAGGGGGCAGCGCACGCGTTTAATGTTGGCAAGGGTTTACAGGGCTCACGCATACGTGATTACATAAAAACTATCCGACAATTCTCACGTTGGCGAGAAATATACGAGCCTCTCGTGCACGTACGTGTGCGGATGAACACGTATGTGAGATTGCAAGAGAAGTGCATGATCACTTGTTCTTTAAATCCAGGTTGAATGTTAACACTTTTGTTAAGTGCTTTAAATGTACAATTATGAATGATCTTTTATCAAAATACATCATTGCTATAGAGGTGGCCGGGTGGTTTTGTGAGATAGTCCCATGTCAGAGCCCTAAGATCCCGAGCTGAAATCTGGGCAGTTACCTTTATTATACGAGGTTCTCAGGTATTGTTAGTAGATTCAGTTTCAGTTTCTTTATTTTGGTATAGCCCTGTGAGCCATTCGGCTCTTGAATCGAGTGCAACCACAACAAAAAACAAAAACACGAACAAGAAAAACATCTTAAAGTGACTGTGTGACTGTGCAAACAGAAAATCCATGAAAAAACAGCAAAATATTCCTGAAAAAAGCACCGTGTGCAAAAAATCCCAGTGGGATGCAAGTCAAACAACAACAACCACAAGAAAACTTAGATTAAGGCCATCAATCTAACTCCGTACTACAACAAATCAAACAAACATGTCCAAACCAAAAAACTTTTCGAAATCACCAAAAAATAAAGCCATAATTGCAACGTAACAGTGATCATAGGGACTGAGACCGGATTTTTACAATAAACTACATAAATAACATGTAACACCAAATCCTAGAGCCATAGCTGGCTGCATGAGTTACTCCACAACAACAGAAGCATAGGTCGGAGTATCAAATTTTTCAATGCACCTTTAAGATCGAAGTCAGATCACCAATGACTACAGACAAATACCATAACATTCAATTAGGGTTTTCCTTACATTTAATATACCAAAAATAAGAAAAAGATTGGTTTTATTCATCACAGATGATCACAACTAAAGGTTTGCCCATTCGTGTGGATAAAGACGCTTGCTTAAAGGAATTCAGCATTGATTCTATGTTATCTTCTCGGGTGTTTTCTGACAAGGTGGTGCACTCCTAGCTACTATGTCTCCATTTAATGAGAAGACACCAACAGAACAATTCGAATATCGTATAAAAAAGTAAAAAGGTAACACGTTTAAATTGAATGTCTGTGCTACATTGTTATTTTCTATTGTTGAGCATTACTTTATGCAAATTTACAGTAGGCCTTGTGGTTAAAATTTTTTATTTCGACTTTAAGCAAATGCAGTATTTATACGTAAATGAGACCAACAGCAGAAGCATCTGATTGTAGGAGAAACTAAAATCAAGTGATGTAATGCAGCTGTAGCTAATATGTGTCAATAAGTGTCTGGTGTGGGTGGAGTGTTGATATGGAGTGCTGGTATGAATCCAGAAACCAAAGTTTTGATTCCGAGCCAGGGTTAATACCAGTCATCCTGAATCTGCCACTTTACCAATCTGCACTGACCAGCATTGTTTAAGTATGGTCAACGAACACCCTGGACTCACAAAGCATGGGAAGGCCTTCGAGTAGCGGATTGAGAAAGGGCTGCAAAGAATAGATTATCTTATTAAACATATCACGCTCTTCATTGTCATCCAGAGTGCAAATTGCATGAATGCCGTCTGTGCATTGAAGGCGTAGCCACAGGACTTGCAGCCGTGAACTATTCCTTCAAGGGCAGTGTCAATATACGAGTTAAAAAAACACTGAATCAGCAGACTCTTAATAAGCCCTGCCGCAGACTAAACCCCTATATGGCACAGGTTGGCCCAAGGGGAAGGCATCAGTGGGTGCAGACGCGAGACGACTGGGAGTCCAACTGTGATGGCAGGTCAACAAAGTTGTGATTTTGACATCATTCAGTTCGGCGGGTCTTCAATAAATTCCTATAATCAACAATACATCTAGCGGACACAGGCCTCGGGCACATACATCGATGTTTGCCATCGACATAATCCCTTGGTTCGGACACAATCCTAGCTTTGACAAATCACAAGCCCCCATCACACACAACCCTAGTCATGACACAGCACTTGCTGACACGTGGCTAATACTGACAAATCTCTACCCTGACACAGCACTAGCCCTGACACAGCACTAGCACTGACAAAGCTCTGCCATTACACAACATTAACCTTGACACCTGATTAGCCCAGACACAGCATGGCTATCCCAGACACAGCACTAGCCCTGACACAGCACTAGCCCTGACACAGCACTAGCCCTGACACAGCACTAGCCCTGACACAGCACTAGCCCTGACACAGCACTAGCCCTGACACAGCACTAGGCCTGACACAGCACTAGGCCTGACACAGCATGGCTAACCCAGACACAGCACAAGCCCTGACACATCACGAGCAGTGACACAGCTCTGCCCTGCCGCAGCCTTAGCCTTGACACATGGTAGCCCAGACGCAAGCACTCGCCCTGACACAGCCCTAGCCATGCCACTTGGCTATCCTAGACACAGCCCTCGCCCTGGCACAGCCTTCGCCTCTGGCATAAACAGAGCCCTGACATAACCACGATGTCCGCATTACCCGCGACAGGCGGATGCGATGCCCCCTGCACTTCTCACCTGTGTGGCCGGCTCACACAGACAATGTTGATGACGAGGAGGAGGAGGAAGGGAGAAGGACGAAGAAGGACAGCAGGATGATTGTGCGGAGGGGAGGGGATGATCGATTCCGCGGCTCTCTCGCCGAGAAACCCCGGGCGACGACCGAGGCGGCTCGAACGACTCCAAACATCCACGTCGCTAGCTCGTGCCGCGTTGCTTCTTCTTCCGGGGTAGAGGTCACCAGTGGGTGGGAGAGAGGGGGGAGGAGGTCATAACCCGACACCCGTCGCGATTCGATTCCGGTCATACCATCGATTCTCCATACCGTGAATGTCAGAATGAGAATATTTGGTGACCCCGGAGGAATGCGACGAGCTATGACGTGAATGTGATTATTATTTTCACAATGTCACCTTTAATTTTTTTTATTTAAAGCTTTCGTGACTGCATGGATTCATATTCTTGGTTCTTTCGGTAAAGTCACGTAGAAGGGAAACAGCAAAAATAAACGCCACTTTTTTTCAAATTTTCTTGTTGTGGTTTTCACACTTGATGATGATTGCTTCTTGTGTTGCAGTCGAAACGTCGTGAGAATTTTATTGTTTTATATTTTTATTATTGTTGTTTCCCTTCTACGTGACTTTACCGAAAGAACCAAGAATATGTCACCTTTGCTTTTGATTTTTAACCGAGTAAAATGTCTTCTATTTGGATATTGTACCTCGGTTTGTGTTCTATGCTTTAATTTTGTCACTTTTTTGTTTAGAAATGTACATCTCTAAAATGCGTAGTGCTTAATTGCGACTCAGATTAGCACGTTTGGTTCAAGAAAATATTCAGATGCTGCCGATTTCGAATCCAGAGATCGATTAATCGTCATCGGATCGATTCACCCACAAAACGCGGGGACGTGACGACACCGGTCAGTCGCATGACGTCACCTGCGGCTCCGGCATCGTGGATAACGGATGTGGAAGCCATCTTGGTCAGGGGCGATGGGGGAGGGGCGGGGAAAAGCTCAAACCCCCCCGCCGTGACGTCACGCGGTGAGAGGCGGATGACGTCATTGCACTGCCGCCTTTCGCCACGAAAGTGACGGTGACGTCACCACGGCGCCTGTGCCAGGCTAGGTGCACATTGAGGCTGCCACGTGAAGTGTCTGTAGGCTCGCTGCTGACAGGAGGTCGTCTCGGGACAGACCCAGGTGCGACTGACTGAGATGACCGGGCAGATGCACCGCCAGCTGTAACCCCCCCCCCATACTGCGCCAACTCGCTGCGTTTTATCCGCCACGGCGCCCCCGCTCGTTGTTGTGAGCAGCGTCGCTCCTCTGCCCTCCGCTGCAGTTGCTGGCGGGGGCGACCGCCTCCCAGCTGCCCCAGCAGCAACAGCAGCAGCGTCTCCTTCACGAGCCTCCAAATCGAGAGTTCGCCCGCAATACCAACACACACTTCTCCGTTCGCCCAATGAGTGACGGGGACGTCCCCGCGGTGCCTGTGCCAGGCTAGGTGCACCCACAGGCCCCCTCCCCCCACGCCGGCCGCGCCCACCAAACAACCCCCAAGTAAGATGGCGGCTCCGCTGCCTTCAAGTTGTTGAGAGGCGGCTCGACGTTGTTGCATTTTGTACGGCTTAGCCGGTAACGCCGCCGATTGTTTTGGCGTTGCTTTGTCGTCGTTGTCGTTGTTGTTTGACATTGAGACTTGTAGCACCGATTCTAAAGTAACCATGCGCCCTTCAACGATATCCGAATTCTGACTCGTGCCGGGTCCGTACCGTCAGCGCGGTGAGTTGCAACGCGCCCGTGTCGGCGTAGCGATGATGATCAACACAAGTTTATATTTACTTTAAAGCGCATAACGATTACTACTATCGCGTGTTTTTGTATTCTTTGTAACGTTCTGACCCGCCTCTGTATTTAAAAAAAATCTGAATCTTGATTGAGTCTGTAGGAATCCGATGAGCTATAAAGCTCTTTTTCTTCCCCTCCCACAGTATGCCCAGTAGGGGCGGGTAAGATGATGAAACGTCGTGAGAATATTATTGTGTTATTTTATTTTATCAATTTATTATTTTATTCTCATTCTACGTGACTTTACCGAAAGAACCAAAGAAGATGTATAAGGGAAGTTTTATCGCTTTGTGAAAAATTAAGAACAGGGTTTTTCCCCTTTCTGGCAATAAAACAGGTGTGAAGATGACCACAAGGATTCATACTCCTTGGTTTTATTCGGTAGAGTCACGTAGGTAAGCTAAAATAAAATAAAACAATTAAATCACGATGTTTCGGAGGCAACACAAGCTTCCGTCTTCAGGTGGAACGTGACTTTACCGAATAAAACCAAAGAGTCGGTGTGAAGATTTTGATTTAAAGCTTTCGTGACTGCAGGGATTCATATTCTTGGTTATTTCGGTAAAGTCACACCACCACGAAGAATTGTTTCCCGTCTACGTGACTCAACGGAAAGAACCAATAATACCTTAACACTAGTTTTATTGCCAGAAAGGGTAAAAACCCCAACGCATATTTTTTTATACTTTCATACTGCCAAAAAACTCCCAATTTTTTTGTATCGCTTTAAATACGCAAGTGTAAATCTGCTTTTTTTTAATTTAAAGCTTTCGTGATGACCGTTTGCGTTACGGTCGAAACGTCCGTGATAATTTTTTATTGTTTTATATATATTTTATTCTTTTATTGTTTCCCTTCAACGTGACTTTACCGAAAGAGCTAAGAGTATGTAAATCTGCTTTTACTCGACGGCTTGTGGTGGCGTCTCAACGCTCTCCAGGAAGTGGCAACGTCCAGGAATCACTCGTGAGCTCCTCTTCAGGCCCAAGCTGAACAACGTGGACCCTTCCCCAAGCAAACATTCATTCTGACGTTTTAAAATAAGCAATGTTAATAGATGTTATGTTGCTCGGTCGGCAGTGGTTGTCTTGAATCAGGGATTATTGCTTATCATGTGCAGTAGATTTTTTTTGTGTATATATATTTCCGGGGCGCTACGTGGTGGAGAAACATCAATTGCTGTACTGTACTTGTATGCGCCCAAGTCTGTGATTCCCGTCTCAACCAACCCACACTGACCGGTGAGGTGAGGAATGTTCAAATAAACTCCACGATCTGACCGGTTTGGGGAGGCAGGGCCTCACCCAGAAGTGGATTAACAGACTGTATGTACGTTGAACTTCTTTTGCACCGTACGTGGCCAATCGTGCTGTACGTGTACACACGTGAGTGGGAACGTTGTATAGATCTGTCAACAATTGTAAGTAGTGTAAGTGGTATTGCATCCCTTGGTGGAGGCTTTCAATGGAATCAAATGGATTTTATTTGGCACAAACTATGTTTTGCACATTTGCATCTCAGTGCCCTGCTTGGTTCATTGGCAGTGTGTGCCTCATATTCAACCTTCGGGACTTTTCGATGGAAAACTATAACGTTATGTCCACTATGTTGTGCTCAAGTCTTGAATAACGTTCCTTGTTTGCACAGGAGCAACAATGAATATGGAATTGGAAGCGCTGCAGAAAGAGGAGACGACGCTTTTAGAGCTGAGAAAGCTGTTCCAGGATCAGCTGAACCGACTGAAGGTTAAACGTTGAACTCATTATCAATGCTATACGTAGATTGGCGTATACAAGTGACGGAGGAGGTCTCCTTACGCAATGCTGATGGGTTAACTCGGGGCTGGCGGTTAATGCTGTGTGTCTGGGATCTCCAGGTGGAGGAGCTGGCACTCAGAGCGACCATTCGCGCACAGCAGCAGGGGAGCGAGCCCCCTCAGCCCAGCGCCCTGCAGCTGCTGTGCGCCACCCAGGAGGCATGTCACCCACGCTCCCTGCCCAGGGGTTAAAGCCGCCAGCAGCTGCTTGTGGTCATACTGTTGTTTGCTGATCAGACCCTCGAAGCTACGTGATGGTGCCTTTGAGGTTACCCTATCGGTGGTTGCTTTGGGAGGCTCTAAAATGTATTCATCTTTTTTTCACTGTCAGGCGTATTCAGTGTTGATGTGAGGCAGACAATGGTGAACCAACATTAGAGGGTGCTGTGTCATGTTTTGTAAGATTGGTTTGCCACATCTCAGATGTGATATACGTGATATTAGATGTGATATATATTCGTTAAGTGCTGGACTAGGCTGAATTAGGTAATCGTATTTACGTAATTATCTCTTTTTGGAGATCATGAAACTTGCCGAGATTGAACTCGGGTTCTTCGTCGGGCTAACATGGGCATTACGAGAGACTCCTATTTCCTCCTGGCCACCCCACCAGCAGACCAAGGACGTGTCCTCTTGCAGAGTGACACCAGGATTTTTATGTTAATATGTCGGAGAGACAAAACTCCCCCCCCCCCCTTAACATCTGAGCGAGTGTGCAGGGTTTATTTTCAGCCGATTCTGTCCATGTTGGTGACTCAGAAAATATATCGACACTCGGCACACCACATCCAATGTACCTCTCGCTAGGGCTGTAGCTACTATTCACGTGCCTAATCTAGCCTAGCGGTGACCCGGGAAATACTCATCGAGTATGTTCTGTGCAGGAGACACGGAGATGTGTAGACGATGCAGATTCCTTGAATCGGATGGCGCTGCAGCTGGACACCATGCCTTTCGGGAACCAGGGCGAGCAGGAGATGGAAGAGCAAGATGAGGAGGAAGATGAGGAAGAAGAGGCTGCAGAAGATGATTATGAAGATTATGGAGATGAGGACTAGTTTATGTGTAAATGTGAGTCCCCTGGTAAAACTGAACAGTCAACAGATGCACAAGTACTGGGGATGTTTTTCAGGGAATAGTATTATAGGGCTCTCAACCCTTTCCTGGAATCGGAAATAAAAGGCCGTGCAGAAAGGCGTGTGGCACAGTTTGGCGCCAGCTATCGTAGAGTACAGTTGCGTTGCAACAGTTCTCTGCGGTGAGTTTAATGTCTTTAAAAACAACGGCGCTAGCCACTTGTACGTTTCCGTAATTCAAAGGTGAACGGGACCCACCCTGCAACTTGCAGTGGTCTTGGAACGGGAAAGGGCTAAGTGTTGAACAAATGTTCACAGGTCCAATAGTGATGCATTAACATACTAGGAGGTATTTTGTAACATTTAATTTCCCTAAGATGTTGATTTTTATATTACTTTATTGAATAGGTGCAATAATTATAACGTCTCGCATCAAAGTATATGCACGGAACACATTCACATATAACAACATTTCAAATGTAAAGATGTACAATTATTCTCCAGCAAAATGTGCATGAATCGAATAATTATGGGCACGTTGAACTTGTGTGTATTGTACAAACTGTAATAAATGTATTTCAAATATGCAGTGGCGTTAAAATTAAACAGCTGAACACAATGTGCTGCATCATCTAAACTAAGGTAAAACAATAAGACATTCCTAGAATTAATTGCCCTTCAATTCCATGGACACAATCAGTATTATTCTGAGCCAAGTCTGCCAAATGTGCATTTGAGACTAATTTTAAATCCATCTCACTGCAAACTATTAAACAATAGGTCAATAAAATCAAATACTGTGCAATAGTATGTATCTGCCATGTATTTGTATAATCATTCAAAGTAAACTGCATCGACAAAAATATAATACAGACTTGCATGCTGTGCATGTGAAGGGAATTTAACATTTTTTAAAAAGAATTCCCTTCATGTGGCAAAATAAATAATTACAGGACAGCATTGGAGTTGGTGATGAAAGACCTTTTATAATAAGCGTAATGAGTTTGTGACATGCTTATGTTGCTTAATACCCTTATGGAATAATGGGTAGTGAATTGATCAAAGCCACCCAAGTTCTCTCTGCCCACAGGCTAATAATAGATCACTCCCAAGTCCGAGTGATGTGCTATTTTCATACCTAATTTACAACTCATCCTTCATGTAAAAATAAAGATGCTTTTGTGATGCGAGAATAGAACTAGAGAGACGACCCTTGCACAGTAACGCAGGGAATACAGGTGGGAGTCATGGCATCATCGCTGCTTTGTTCACCGAGTTGGCTCAGCCCCGGCTTTGGACTCGGATCCATCTCAAGGTTGGGGCTCGGAGAGTCTCCGACGGGAGTGAACGCCACTCGCCGCACAGATGCTGGGGCCGGCCCACACACGTCCAGGCAGCCACGGCCCTCCAACACGCGGTGCGGGCCGCGGTAGTTCGGGTCACGGTATACGACCCACCTGACATGGGGAAAACGACCAGGAAGGAGGCAGCCAGTAAGGAAAGCTGCATTGTAGACGTGGACAAGACGCATGTGACGGAAGACCCAGATAACACATGGTGGGAAATAACCAGGGGGAAATGAGTTGCGTGGAGTACCCAGGTAACAAGGAAGATGAGATGAAAATAACCCAACAAGCACAATAGAAATGCATCCAGGAAGAACCCGAAAGATGATGAACCAAGGGAGAATAAAGACTTAAGTGGAGGATACAAGAAAGACATGAAGGATGAGGAAAAAGAAGGCGGCTGAAGTGGAGGGCCCAGGGAAGGTACAGATGTCACTGATGGTGTGGAGAATGTTGGTAAATTCCCCCGTGCACGGCAGCGCGGGTTACTCACACCCCGCCACACACGCGCACGCTGGCTACGCGCCCCAGAGTCGGGGCGCTGCGGGGGTCAACCCCATCGCTTGGCTCCTCGCGACTCGTGAGGGTGGCCAGGTCCGGCACGTCGACGCGCAGATCCACAGAGCGGCCACGGCCCCCTGGCTCGGAGTGCAGCTGCAGCAGAGGCGGACACTCCAGGTCCTGTAGCGGTGGGGTTAGAACGCGCAGCTTAATTTACGCCAACATTTCGAGTGTAATATTTTTGGGAAAAAAATGTGTTACGTAGCAACATGTGGTTGATTAAAAAAGTAAGAACGTCCAACACCAATTTTGTGATTGTGACAATTGAGCATTAGTTGTGTGAGGGGCGTCTAAAACTTGGATATTTGGAAATCCAAAAGAAGCATTTTATTTTACCTTCCAATGTAAAAACGCAAACTTTATAATAAACCTCAATATATATTCTTAGTTTTTTCGGTAAAGTCACGTTGAAGAGAAACAACAAAATAATAATATATATATAAAACAATAAAAAAATTCTCACGACGTTTCGACCATAACTCAAACGGTCATCTTCAGGTGTGTTGGTTTGCATAAATGTATTTTTAAACGGCACATAAATAACTCTTCATAGTTCATAGTTTTTTTTAGTTTCATAGTTTTATTTATTTGGTATAGCCCTGTGAGCCATTCGGGAGGGGTGGCGCACTGCACGAAAATGAGTACAGCCCCATGTTTGTTAGAAAGCAATGTAAATGGCTGTACAAATATAAGGCAGCTAAAGTTTGGCATACAACCCACTGAGAGATGGAAATGGCTGTACAATTATAAGGCAGCTAATGTTTGATTCGATTTATAACATCTTTCCAATGGTTGCTCAATTTGAAACCATCCTCTCGGTTGAACTTGTGTCTGTGTTTGTATATCTGGACGGCTTCATGGACAAATCTCTGGTAATAACCGGTTATTATAATTGTACAGCCATATCCATCTCTCTCAGTGGGTTTTATGCCAAACTTTAGCTGCCTTATAATTGTACAGCCATTTGCATTGCTTTCTAAGAAAAATGGGACTGTACTCGCCCCCCCCCTCCCCCCGAACCCCCTGCAGTTTAACAAAAGGCGGCTTAACTCAGCCCCCCCCCCCCCCCCCTTAACCTGTATATAATCCCGGCTGGTCTCAGAGGTGTCCACTTGACACAGATATTCTGCTGTGACTATTCCACCTGAAGACGGAAGCTTGTGTTGCCTCCGAAACGTCGTGATTTAATTTAGTTTTATTTTATTTTACCTACGTGACTTTACCGAAAAAAACAAAGAGTATCAATCCCTGCAGTCACGAAAGCTTCAAATCTAGAATTTGTAAGAATGTTGATAGACCAGATCTAAACACGTCATGCCATTTAAGGAGAGGGCCGCAAACTCGAGCACAACATTGAAACGCTGCCCTTATTAAACGCCACTAACAAAGGTAGGGGTGAGTGGAGGGGGTGGGTGGCGGGGCCAAGGTTGAGATGAGCCTTCTCAAAAATGGGGCAGCCACCTCCCATCGCACCGAACTGCCCAGTGCCCCCCAATCCTGGCGCAGCTGCTGTTGCTGCTGCAACAAACAAAAAAACCCCATCCTTAGTCCGCTGGAGGGATTACACGAAGAAATATGAGGAGGGAGGCCTCCAATTGCCCGTACGTATCAGCGTCGACAATATCTTGGGTTCAGGGTCACCCGTGCCTAATCATGGGTTTTGTCGGCGGAGCTGCGCACCCGACGCAGCCTCCGCACGGACGCAACGACGGTCGGGAATCCGCCCCAGCTGCCCGCGTGGCGGTGTTCACCTCCACCGACCCCGTCCCACAGTGCCGCCGGGCCCGAGAATTCCTCCAGGGCATAGCCCAGCCACCTTGCGAGTAAGGGAAGGGGGAGACGCCGCGGTTTAACTTTCGCTCGGCATTTACGATGCGCGAATGAATGCAACGACATTTAAAGCCACATTGCCTTGAATTGTGGGCCTCGGTGATTTGTTCGAGTGAAATGGTCAACTCCGTAATAAAGTGAGCACTGGGTGTTTGTTGCTCATCTACGGTAGCAAGGTACGAGCTTGGGGTTGAAAATGCCACGTTCTTACAGCAGCTGCCGGATTATCGTTAGGTAGTGATGCACACAATAACCGTTGACTTATGCATCATCTGAAAGCAACTTAATCTCAGGATGTTGCTGCTACTCATTTTATCGACCATGGAATAACGATGAGCCGAGGTCGACTCTCAAAAGAGTATTTCAACCAACTCGTGACCTTACTGTTGTGAATTTGAGTGCTCTACCACAGCAATGTATCTTATTAAAGACCCAGGCTTCTTTGATTTGGAACGTCGTTTAAATATTACAAAAAATATTTGTTATCGTCACGAACACTATTGACCACAGGTTGCTCGTGTCATGCCGGTAATCGCAGCAAAACAAAATGTGTCGAGCCACAACGCCCCACCGCGGTGGCCAGATGTTAACTACCTCGCCTGGTTAACAGGAGGTCGTGGATTCGATCCCGACCCTAACTCCTGTTTATGTGGAGTTCGCGTGTTCTCCCCGTGGTCGCGTGCATTTTTCTCCGGGTGCTCCCGGAGTTAGAATCAACTTCGTTCAGCAATAATTTGTGGCCAGGTCGCTTCTGAAAAAAGATAGCTCAGTGGGCCTTACCTGGTAAGATAACAAAAAATATATATAGTTTTAGTTTAGTAGCTATACAGTGTTGCAGGTGGTGAAACTGCACCAGTGCCTGCGAGCTGGATGGGCCAGGCACTGGGTTACGAAGAGCGGGGAGAAATGGCAAATGCACCAGGGCCCCATGCCAAAACCACGCCATGCTACTGCTTTAGACCCAGCGCGCTTTTGACCCGATGTGGCCGGGGCAAAGCCATCGCTGCCGTTACGTACGCGCCACGAGACACTCGGACCGAGTGGCAGCGGACAGGGCCGTGGGCAGCAGGTTCGTGGGCAGTGCGGCGGCGGAAGGAGCGACGCGGCTCCAGTAAGCGAGGGCAGTCCCGCGTTAAGGGCAGCCCCCTGCCCTGCAGGTTTGTGAAGTCGTAGAGCGTCACCTGCCAAAGCAGCGCAATACTCAAACACTGGCTCCTGTGACGGTGGCCGTGGTCACCGCGTTATTCACTCGGGGGTGGGGGGGGGGGGGTGCATATTGGTCAGGTGGAGGCCCCAATATTCGATTTGTCTCGCACGGTCGCACCTAGGCTATATATACAGGGTCCTTCAAAAAAAGTGTTAACACTTATATGGGACTATCGTTTTTAATGGAAAAAGAACGGATGATACACTATAACATGATAACAAATGTATGCTAATAGCTTCAAAAAGTCAGTCTCCACGCGTTCGCCATCATTGTCAACACGTGGCCTGGAATCTTCTCCAGGTGGTCTCCAGGACCCGGAGGCAGCAGCACATTTCTTGTGGTATTGTTGCAAATTCTCAGAAGTGTTAATATTTTTTAAAGCACTCTGTATATCGCGGCTCTTCTTGCCTAATCACGTAATTAAATATGTTTTTGTTATTTTAAACTGTTGAAAACATATCGCACGATTGGTTGTCAAAGGGCCCCCTTCCCCCATGCTAGTTTGGCTACTGGTCAGTGGAGATGACTGGCAGGCCACCTCGATGGGACGAGTGCTTGGGTTGCAGCAAGGGCCCAGCATCATCGATGTAACCTATATTAAAATTTGCTTCTCTCAAAGGATAATGTCAATAAATAAAATGGCCAGTAGAGAATGAGCAGCGACCTCCTAGAAACTGGAGGTTGATTATGGGTTTCAACCAGGAGGCCTTGGTTGTTAGAGCAGAGCGCATACAACTAGGCAAGGAAAAAGAGGAGATGGCAAGAAAGAACAATACCGTATACGATTTTCAAAACGGAAAGTATGATCTTGCATTTTAAGAGATTTTAAATCGAGGGTGGTCAGATCCCTTCATTGGCTTCCAAAACAACTTGGGGGTAAATGAAGGGATCTTGAGGACTTGAGTTGTACATAATGGCATGATAACATTTTCGGGTGCAATACATCTGGTAGCAGCACTCTGCATCATCATCACAGCGATTAATTCAACATGTTGCGCACGGCGAATTTGATCATTTCAGTCCCGTCACCGATGATGGAATAAAAATGCCACCGTGTAAAATTATACTTTTGTGCATGACCAGATTTGGCTCATTCTGATTGCCTTAACGTATATAATTTTGGCACGTGACAAAACAATGTCAGCATAGTTGAGAAGAGCACGGGGTAGTGGTTATACGAGTTAGACCGTTGAGGAATATCACGCGAAGCACAAATGCGTCACTGCCGGATCGTGCCGTTGGTTCTGGATTATTCTGCACAGGTGCTCAAAGACGCATTGATAGAAAAGATTAATCGACACTGATCTCAGAGAGCTTCGTTGAATCTCAAGATATTTTAAGTGGTCTTGGATGCCTGACCAATTCTGTTAAACCGGTGTTTTAAATAAGTGCACACTTTAAAAAAATATGAATATGCATGTGACGTGATATCCAACAAATTACCCAAACCATCCTTTGGAGAAAATCCAAATTACAGTGGCTCGCACCGTTGACTTCAAGCGTAATGAACATTCCTCAAATAACAAACTAGGATTGGTTGATGTGGAAGACAGATTGCCCATGCTTAGCCCATTTGGCCTCAACGCCTAATCTACTCTACAGACCATTATGCAGTGTTAAAAGCTATGTGTCCGTGATGGAGCTCACAAAAAAATTGGCAAAAGCACAAGGGCATTACTAAAGGAAGAATACAATCATAACTCACCCGATCTTTTGGCTCAAAGGGCCTTTGCAGCTCAGAACCCATGATCCAGCCTTAAATCTGGGGATTTTTTTTACAAACACAAAAGTGAACATCATTTGTTGTATAATATTGCTGTAATATTACAAGAATCCAATAGCCATTAAGGAGGACTAAATTGTGCTTTCCATGGGCACTTTTCACAGTTCTGCTGGTGTGGATGACATGTTTTAAGTTTATTTGGTTTAACCAGGTGAGAACTCAACGAGACCAGGCGAGTCTAATTTTGGAATAGTGACCTGGACCATCAAAATGAGGTAAGCAAAAACAAACAAAATAAATACTCTTTGGGTCTTTCGGTAAAGTCACGTAGATAGAAAAATAAGAAAAAATAATACCGAAAGACCTAAAGAGTATGAATTCCTGCAGTCACGAAAGCTTTAAGTCAAGATTAAACTAAATAAAGTTCAGCGACCAGGCAACGAGAGAAATTACGACAAAAAAAAACAACCGTGTCACGTGAGAAATCAAAAGCACTGCACAAACACAACCGATGCTCATCATAAACTCCCTGCTGCGTAGGTCTCCTTGGGCAGATTATTCCTATACTGATTATAGTACAATTACACATTAAGTTACAGAAACATCAAACAGATACAAGGTGACCATTGTACGAACATGTAAACAGACAAGGATACGAAGAGACAAGATCTCGCGTATAGCATTTAACAGACTGTTGGGGCAAGTGCTGATCGCGAGCGCCTATGAAGGCCGGCACGGCACACGAGGGGGGTGGGAGACCAACATCACGCCCGGGCCACCTTTGTCTCCCCAGTGGCGATGTTTACACACCGTACCAGGTACGCATTTGAGGCTGAGCCGACCTAGGGGAGGTCCAGTACTGGTTCAGATAAGCATCACTGATGTTGACCATGAGCGAGAATCGAACTCTGTTCGCCGGGTTCGTAGCGCAGCTCCCCACAACAAATATAAAGACAAAGATCCCCCGTATAGCCTTTAACAGACTGTTGGGGCAAGTGCTGTTAGCGAGCACCTATGAAGGCCAGAACCGCACACGAGAAGGTGAGTGGCCAGCACCACGCCTGGTCGCCTTTGTCTCCCCAGTGGCGATGTTCAGATAATTAACGTCACTGATTTTGGCCGTGAGCGGGAATCGAACTCTGGTCGCCAGGTTCGTAGCGCAGCGCTCACCGCTACAACTACCACAGTATAGGATCCCTATATGCAGATGCTTTGAGAGATGCTGGGTGGGGAATGTGCCATCGATGTCCCCGTACTAAAGCCGTCACAGCACTTGTGTGGCCAATGGAACTGGCATCATGGCCAGCTTCCTTTAGTTTCTAAGCAGTGATGTTCACACATCCTAGCGGCTCAGCTTCGCCAAGTCAACATATGTTCAGATATTAAACGGCAAGAAATCAAAAGAATGGCAAGCTGGTGTTGTCGTAGTGTACTGTCTGTGCTGGAGTGAATAGGGTGAACACAGACGTGTGCACCGTGGAATGGTGACACAGTGGTTAGCACACTGCCCTTTCAACCCGGCAACCCGAATTCAAATCCCGGCCATAGCACCATCATTGGGGAGTGCTATCTCAACTCGTCCTTGGCTCCCCTTTCTCCAAACGCATTGATCATAGCGTTGAAGTATGGCCAAATAACCCCATCTCTAACATGGGGTTGGAAGGCCTTCATCCAGCAGCAGATTGACAAAGGCCTGTAGATTGTGTGCTCACATGCAGTAGTATAAATACACATCTGTAATATTGCCTGCTTGATATACAGTGCTTGCCAAGTTAAAATGAGTCCAATAAAACCCGGATATCGCTCAATCCCTCTTACCTAATCTCACAACCGCCCACCCCATCGCTGCCCCACCCCACAGGGCGGTTATGTTCAGCAGACAGGATCAACTCTCCCGATTTAGAAACACAAACGGTGACATATTTGGGTAGAGGCAACATGCTCACGCTTCAACTTTACAGAAGGTTAAACCCCCCCCCCCCCCACGAACAATGAACCCTCGTGATCCGCATTAAGCCCCAACAACATCACTACACAAACACTGCAAACAGTCGCAGTCATTCTACAGCCCCTTTTATCAGGCCACCGCAGGATGAATGACCCCAGACGCAGTCCGATTAGCCCGCACCTTCGATTAGCACGGTTGGCTTCGTACGGTGCCAAAGAAGTCCAACATACATACATGTCGTGCAATTCACGCACTGAGAGGCAAGTCGCGGCATAGGCTTGAGGGTCAAAATGATCATTGTCAGTTTTCACGTTAAGTAAATAAACTTGACCCATGATCAGCATTGAATCATTCACAGTAATATACGAATGTCATGATCTATCCTTGCCTGTCCAACAATTTAATTAGTTTTTGAGATTTGTGGTCTTGCTGGTTTATCCAGGATGTTTCTGTTGCCCGTCGTCGCTTTAAGATGTTTCTGTGTTTGTCGCGGTTGCACCCGACTCAAGAGCCGCATGGCTCACAGGGCTATACCTAATAAATTAAACTTGAAAACATGTCACGCACGAGCGTTGTTTTCAGTATACTTTTAGACGCTGGCCAGGACCGGTTCAGATATCACACTTGTTACTGATATATTGCCGTGGCCATGCTATGGCATGGAATCAAACTCGGGTCAAACGTTGAGCGGCATATACTCATGGTGAATGTATTTATTTAATTACCGTCAACTCATTAGGTGCCGTCGCAAACGGGGAAATTGGTCACCTCTTCTGGCATCCTTGTCAGGCTTGCGCCTTCTTTGCATGAAGAGAAAAGCGGACTTCATCCTGGCGCACTCATTCACATTGGTATCCTTGATCTATATTCTTAGTTTTTTCGGTAAAGTCACGTTGAAGAGAAACAACAAAATAACAAAATATATATAAAACAATAAAAAATTCTCACGACGTTTCGACCATAACTCAAACGGTCATCATCAGGTGTGTCGGTTTGCATAAATTTATTTTGAAAACGGCATATTTATTTATATATATAAAAATAACGTTTGCGTCACGCGCAACGATGGCAGTTTGCCAGGACTAGTCCATCTATTTTTTTTTTTTGAAAAGAGGAGGGGGGAGACGAAATTTGTTTTTATGTATGCTGTCTGAAAGGCACTGTAAGCGTGAACAATCAATCAAGAAGTGAAATGATTTATCAAATCTTTCCAATGATTGCTAAGATAGAATCCATCTTCTCGGTTGAAATTGTCTCTGTGTTTGTATATGTGGATAGCCTCATGAACGAATCTCTCATGGAAGCCAGATGGCTTACAAAGAACCTCCGTCTTGGAAAAGTCAATGGCATGTGAGCCTACTGAATTAGAACAATGATCTGCTACGGCCGAGGTGTTGGTCCTACCGTGTTTAAGGTCTGCTTTATGTTCACGAATGCGGTCCGAGATATGGCGTTTGGTTTCTCCAATGTAACTACTACCACAGAGGCAACTTAGTTTGTAGACACCAGGGTATTGTATGTCCGGAATCACATCTTTTACAGACGGAACCAGATCACGGATTTTATGTAATGTGTTGAAACGGACCTGGATCTTGTGTTTATTCAAGATTTTGGAGATCTTTTTTGTGATCCCAGCAATGTAGGGTAAAGTGATGGTTTTGAAAGGCTCCTCAAGAGGGTTCTTCTTCATGGTTTGAGTGATAGCTTTGCGGATTGTATAGTCGGAGTAACCATTAGCCCTAAGAGCTTGGTGTACGTGCTTGAGTTCACTGCTTATGTGTTCCTGGTCGGATATGCATTGGGCTCTATGATACAGAGTCTTGATGAGAGAATTCTTCTGTGATGGATGGTGGTGGGAATCCAGTTTCAGATAAGCATCCGTATGGGTAGCTTTCCTGTAGACAGAGTGGCTCATTGAACCATCAGGTCTCTTTTTAATTAGGACATCCAAAAAAGGTATCTTGCCATCTATTTCGACTTCCATGGTAAATCTGATGGCTGGGTGTATGGAATTGATGTGGTCGAAGAATTTGTCTAGAGCAGGCCGGCCATGTGGCCAGATGACAAAAGTGTCATTTTTTTTTATTGTTTTATATATATTTTGTTATTTTGTTGTTTCTCTTCAACGTGACTTTACCGAAAAAACTAAGAATATGAATTACTGCAGTCACGAAAGCTTTAAATCAAAATCCTTGATCTAGTTCACCCCCCTGCTGCTCAGCCCACTTTTCGTTTTAGCCAGTCTCAAGTATTTAACAGTAAGAGGTATAATATTAGTTGTACAAATCCTGAATTTCACGGGCCTCTCGCATGCACATCACTGCCATAGTGCAATGCGAGCTGAAGCAAAGTTAATCCGCCAATTTGGAGGGCTTTTTCGGTACCGTTGGCTGTATGTCAATGCAATTAACACCATAAACACGCAAATCGTAAACAAACAGGATTGGGGTTTAGTTATGTAAACTTGAAAAGCAAAGCAACATCACATTCAAAACATCCTGCAAAATTCAATACGCCAATTCTGGATTAATTTTCACTTCGCAAGTTTGTAACACGCATATTTAAAATACACACTGGTGAAGTGATGCGTTCATTCTTACAGCACATCCAAACCAAGGCAAATGTCTACTTGTCCCGTGATGATGCTCGAGCAGCGGAACTTCACACTGCACACACAGCCGGATGGATGACTATCCAGCAGCTCGCGTCCCACTAATCACACTCCAGTAACAAAAGTCGCGTCGCTCCTCGGGCTCGTGCACAACTCAGTCGATGATCTCCTTGCAACACCAACAGCAGAAGAGGAAGAGCAGGCAGTCGCGTGCAGAGCGCAGAAAGCCCTGTGAGCAGCTGCCCTGCTGCTGCTGCTGTTGCTGCTGCCGCTGTTGTGGCTGCTGCTGCTGCTGCTGCAGGTGAGAGCCAACCTCTCTCTCCACGCTCCGCTCCATCAAGCGCCACACGTAGCGCGAAATGGACAGCAAGTCTCCTCCTCCTCCTCCTCCGCCTCCTCCAGCGCGGCAGGGGCTGTGGTAGAGCCACCCAGGAGCGAGTCTGAGGCCGCAAGGGCAGAGCGACGGCCCGACGTGCATCGGTAGCGGGCAAGCGCGAGGATGTGCGCCCGTGTTCGCAGCGCGTTAAATAGGGGGGGTCACAGGGGGGTCACAGGCTCCCATCGAGGGGCTCAGCGGAGCACAATGGGAAGTGCACGGCGCGCAGATTGCATTCAATCGGAGAACGAAGCCGACAGCACATTCTGCTGCGTGTTTTGACGTCGGTACCGCAGAGTTACAATTGACCGATTAAACAGGGAAAATAACTGGAAAGTGTACCTCGTTAGTGGCCATATTCCAGGTGATTATTACTACGCAAAAACATTAATGACACAACGGCATCATAACGGTAATGATTACACGATGTAACACAATTTTTGTTCCTGGGGAGTGTTATTTCGTAATTGCTTATGCCTAAACAGTTTTTTTTTTTTAAATGGCTATTATTCCCCACAAACTTTGCTTTTGTGACCAGTACAGTGATATTTTGAAATTTACCTATTTTCAATGAGAAAACGGGCAATGTCTTTTCGTTCACGTCAGAAAAAAAACATACGAATCAAAATTTACATGTATTTATACTAAAGTAATAAAAAAATGACTGCAAAAGATTTAGAAGGGAGTAGTTTTTCAAGATTTACGATTATACTTCAAATCACTTTCACGAATCAGCCCCCAAATGTAGTCCCCCATTATGTTCTCGGAATACTGTCCTTGGTAGCGGCGTTTAAAGTCCAGTATATCCTGGTGGAAGCGCTCGCCTTGCTCCTCCAAGTACGCTCCCATGTTCTCCCTGAATTTATCAAGATGAGCATCAAGGATATGGACTTTGAGGGACATCCTACAGCCCTCTTTTTCTTTTCGCTCTGCCTGATGAAAACTGCTTATGTTGCGATCGAAACGTCGTGGGTTTTTGAATTATATATATAGATTTTAACTTTATTATTTTCTAAGTTACTTTACCGAAAGAACCAAAGAATTTGAATTCCTGCAGTCACTAAAGTCAAAAATCCTACAGCCCATTGTGCTGTAGTTCTTCACCAGTCTCAACAAGCTCCACGTAGTTTTCAACCTTGATTGCCCAGGAAGCGACAAACCACTGCGACAAAGCTGTTCAAAGCTGCTTTCTCCTTACTAGTTAGCTTCTTGGGGAATTAATTGCACTCATGGATCTTCTTTGTGGTCCGATGAAGACACCGGCTTTGACCTTTGCCTCAGACAGCTTAGGGAAGAAGTCTTGAAGGCTGCCGACTCATTATCTACAGCTCTGACAAATTGTTTCATAAGGCCCAATTTGATGTGCAGTGGTGGCATCAGCACCTTCCGGGGGTCCAGCAGTGGCTCCCACTTGACGTTGTTCCTCCCCACAGAGAACTCGGTCTGCTGTCGCCAGTCCCGCCTGTGGTAGTGCGCCTTGGTGCCCAAATATTTTTGTAATAATTTTTGTATTACTTTAGTATAAATACATGTTAATTTTTATGAATGTTGTTTTTTCTGACTTTATGTGAATGAAGACACAAATTCGCCTGTTTTCTCATTGAAAATAGGTAAATTTCAAAATATCACTGTCCTGGTCACAAAAGCAGAGATTGTGGGGAATAATAGAAATTTTCTGTACTTTCTAGGCATAAGCAATGACGAAATAACACTTACTACCCAGGAACCAAAAAATATTGGTACAATGTTACCATTTTGATTTGAAGCTTTCGTGACTGCAGGAATCCACTCTTTGGTTCTTTCGGTAGTCACGTAGGTATAAAAAAATCACGTTTCGGGCACAACAGAAGCATTCGTCATCAACATCATTTGTACTAACATACTCGCCAGACGCAGTCTAATACAGTGAGGGGAAAAAAGTATTTGATCCCCTGCTGATTTTGTACGTTTGCCCACTGACAAAGAAATGATCAGTCTATAATTTTAATGGTAGGTTTATTTGAACAGTGAGAGACAGAATAACAACAAAATCCAGAAAAACGCATGTCAAAAATGTTATAAATTGATTTGCATTTTAATGAGGGAAATAAGTATTTGACCCCTCTGCAAAACATGACTTCGTACTTGGTGGCAAATCCTTTGTTGGCAATCACAGAGGTCAGACGTTTCTTGTAGTTGGCCACCAGGTTTGCACACATATCAGGAGGGATTTTGTCCCACTCCTCTTTGCAGATCTTCTCCAAGTCATTAATGTTTCGAGGCTGACGTTTGGCAACTCGAACCTTCAGCTCCCTCCACAGATTTTCTATGGGATTAAGGTCTGGAGACTGGCTAGGCCACTCCAGGACCTTAATGTGCTTCTTCTTGAGCCACTCCTTTGTTGCCTTGGCCGTGTGTTTTGGGTCATTGTCATGCTGGAATACCCATCCACGACCCATTTTCAATGCCCTGGCTGAGGGAAGGAGGTTCTCACCCAAGATTTGACGGTACATGGCCCCGTCCATCGTCCCTTTGATGCGGTTGTCCTGTCCCCTTAGCAGAAAAACACCCCCAAAGCACGTTTCCACCTCCATGTTCGACAGTGGGTATGGTGTTCTTGGGGTAATAGGCAGCATTCCTCCTCCAAACATGGCGAGTTGAGTTGATGCCAAGGAGCTCCAATTTGGTCTCATCTGACCACAACACTTTCACCCAGTTGTCCTCTGAATCATTCAGATGTTCATTGGCAAACTTCAGACGGGCATGCATGTGCTTTGAGCAGGGGGACCTTGCAGGCACTGCAGGATTTAAGTCCTTCACGGCGTAGTGTGTTACCAATTGTTTTCTTGGTGACTATGGTCCCAGCTGCCTTGAGATCATTGACAAGATCCTCCCAAATAGTTCTGGGCTGATTCCTCACCGTTCTCATGATCATTGCAACTC